CGGAAACTAATTAGTTTGTAGATTCTTAATCTTAAACTTATTATCTTATCGATGTATTAAGTTATATTGCTCCAAATATATTCTCAAAAAAATATTAAATATTAAATGCCCTTCTAGAACTCGAAGCAAGTTTTGCAAAGAAATCTTTTAGAGCAATAAACATTTTTATATAAGAACTTAGTTTTTAAACGATCGATCGTAAATTATGGCATTTATATGATATTGTGGTTCGATGTTGATAATATTTTGAATAGTGAAGTTCGTAATAGCTGAGTTTTGTCAGGAAAGGTTACTTCTATCTCACATTTGCTGCCTTTTGTTTATTTAAAGTCAAATACTTGGGCCTGCTGGCCATGTCAAAGATACTGAAAACACATCCGAAGAGTGTGCAGACGCACAAGGATTTGATATTGGCGTGCCTGGACGACAAGGACGAGTCGATACGATTACGCGCCTTGGATCTGCTATATGGCATGGTATCCAAAAAGAATCTCATGGAGATTGTGAAACGCTTGCTCGGCCACATGGAGCGCGCCGAAGGCTCAGCGTATCGCGATGAGCTGCTCTACAAAGTGATCGAGATATGTGCCCAAAGTTCCTACCTGTATGTCACCAATTTCGAGTGGTACATGACCGTGCTCGTCGAGCTAATCCAACTGGAGGCCGGCTCCAAGCACGGCCGCCTGATTGCCGAACAGCTGCTGGACGTGGCCATACGTGTGCCCGTGGTGCGTCAATTCGCTGTCATCGAGATGACCAATCTGCTGGACACGTTCGCCATATCGACGCAAAGCAACTCCATGTACGAGGTGCTCTATGCGGCCGCCTGGATTGTAGGTGAATTTTCAGCTGAACTGGCGGATGCCGAGAAGACCCTCAACATATTACTGCGACCCCGACAACTACCTGGCCACATCCAGGGCGTCTACGTGCAGAATGTGATCAAGCTCTTTGCACGCCTGGCCACTTCCTGTCTCGAACTACAGGATATGCCCGGCATTGTGCGCGTAAGTAATCCGACCCTCAATAGACTCACTCCAACCCAAAAACTCTATTTCTGAACGAATTTTTACAGTTCTAGTAGATCGAAAGTGTTAATAACTTAATAATTTGATATTAGCCGACTTTTTTCAAACTACGCTTTTTTCCTAAGCCAATCTCGGCAGATAACTTTACCGATATTCGAGCCGCAGGGATAGATTCATCAGTATCTGATTTAATTTTAATTTTAATTTTTTTAGATTTCTTAAAACTTAAACTCAATATTTTTTATTCATAGTAATTTGTTTAAATTTAATTGAAGATCTACAATGATCATAACATTTTCATTTGATAATTTTATTGCCCTTTTCATGCTTCATGTTTTCGCCAGCAAATCCCAAAGACATCAATAATAATATAGTTATAAATTAAATAGGTTTGTAAAAGTTGTTTAGATGATGAATTTTGTATAGAGCTTAGGTTCTTCAAGTTCAAAGTTGATTTAAAAAATATATTAACCGCATACTCTAATTGGTCAATATTAACAAAATGCATTTCACCTTTGTCTGGACTTACAGCTGTGCGATCATGTGCTGGAAAAGCTGCAGCACTTCAATGGCTCCAACGACATTGAGGTGCAGGAGCGTGCCAACTCCGCCTGCATGCTTATCGAAATGCTGCGCAAGCAACTAACTGCGGCTGTGGGGGATGATGAGGAGGCGACAACGGGATCAATACCGAGCATGGCAATTGAGATTGTCCAGGAGATGGCATTGCTCTTTGCCGGCGACCTGATACCCGTGGCGCCCAAGGCACAGCGCAAGGTGCCGCTGCCGGATGGGCTTGATTTGGATGAGTGGATCAATGCGCCGCCTCCGGAGGACGCCAGTAGCTCCTCTTCGGAGCACGATAAGGATGAGTTATTTGTCAGTTCAGCTCACGATGGCACCGGTGTCGGCCATTCAGACGTGAAGCGACGCAAGAGCCTCGAGCTGACACCGGAACAGCTGGAGCGTCAGCGCATGGCGCGTCTCATCGAACAGTCAAATAATCCGCACTATCTGAAGTCAGCGCCAAACTCTTCGTCTGCTGCCATCGGCAACAGCAGCAATAACTCCAATGCGGATCAGTATGACAATATTGATGACATACCCGTAACTGAGCTCCCACTGGACATTGAGGGCGTGGCCGCGCTGCGTGTGGGCAGTAAGTAAACCCTTTATAATACACTCTCGATGCCTGGCTGATTGACTAATCAATTATTGCAGTTACGAAACGTTCGGATAAGTATCTGAAGGAGCAGCAGGCGGCGGCTGCGGCGCACAGTAGCAAAGATGGCAAGAAAAAGCATAAAAAGAGCAAGAAGAGCAAAAAATCAAAAAACAAACTAGCCTACAACAGCAGCTCCGAATCGGATGCGGGTAAGTTCCAGCGAAACAGCAGAGTCCAAAAGCCAGAACAGAAATTAATATGATTAGTTGACCCCTCAGATTCGAAGCCTCTACATATTGTGAACACAACGCTGGACATGCCCGAGGGCGTTACGCTGTCCGACAGCGAGGATAAGGACGGCAAATACGATCCAAACGATCCACACCGTGCACTTGACATTGAACTAGACATGTATGTTTTTTTTCTGAGCTTAATAGTTGCAATATTAACCTTAACTCTTTTACAATAACAATCAGGGCTGATTTTGAAGCGCCAACGAAGTCATCTAAGGCTGCGTCAGCTGGCAAAGAAAATCTCAAGGCGCCAACCCAAGCCACGTCCAGTTCAACCGGCGCGGGCACGGGCACGGGCACAGGCACAGGTGAAGTGGCTGGTAAAAAGGTTAAGAAATCAAAGGACAAGACACGCGAGCATAAAACGCGCAAGGTTCATCCAGAGCCCGATTTGATCGATACGGGGAGCAGTCCCTGCCGGACAGCAACAGACAACGGCGGCGGCGGCGGCGGCAGCAGCAGCACCACCACCACCAACAACAATAACAATAACAACAACAACAACACTGTCCTACCCGAAGCTGTCCATGGTCAGCAGAAAAAGAAGAAGCGCGAGAAGAGCGAGAGGAGTGAAAAGAGTGAAAAGAGGGCGCACAAATCAAGCAAAAAGCCAAATGATGACGCACCTACAATCACAACATCAACAAGCTCCACGAACATTATCGATGTGGGGTTTGACCTGGCCGGCACACAGCCGGCAGAGCCGCAAGCCGAGCCGGCCGTCACCAAGGGGCATAAGAAGAAGCATAAGAAAGACAAGTCACAGCACAAGGAGAAACGGACGCAGGAGTCGGCCGCCTCGGATTACGAACAGCCTATGGGCATTTCGACGCCCAGCAAAGAGATTTTCTAGGTACTAAATAATGGAATAGAACACGCATCTTCATCAATGGATCCATTCACAATTTCCATGCAATATGCATAGTTAAGAACTTTGCCATTAAGTTTGAATAATGCCTACTCCTAATCCTACGTCTAAATTATCGCTGCGATATAAAAACAAATTGAACAAATCTAAAACAAGTACTAGTTAATACTTATGGAGCAACAAGAAAAAAAAAAAAAAACTAATGTAATTTTATTAACCGCATTTGCCGTTGCGGTTCGAAACAAGCATGAAGAAAATTATGAACAAAAACAAGAAAATATAAGAAGAGATGATTTTCTATTTTTTAAATGAATTTGTAGCCAGGACCAGGCAGTCGATTCCCATATATACAATTTGATCAAAATACAATTATAATATTTTAAATAATGCTAGTTGAACAGGATTAAGTGAAATATACATGCTGTAGAATGTATATAGGTTCATACCATATATAAATATATAAACGTTGAATACATAGAGTGCATAATGTATATATAGTATTAAAAACACGCAAAATATTGGAGAACATGTAATACCTAGATATAACCAATGTGCAAATGTTGCGTCCAATTATTCAAGAAGTTGTTTAACTCAAGAACTCAATATCTATAAAAATCTGCTAACAATATATGATACATATATACCCTTGCAAAGGTATTATTATCTTGGAGACATCTCTATCGAGCTGAAACAATATGATATCTGTCCGTTTTCTAGGCAAGCCGGTTCTCAGTTTAAAGGCGATTTCTTTAAAAATAATCTTCTTGCAGATCTTCTTGGCTACAGCAAGCAGCTCTAACTTATTTACTTGCCAGATTGAATTACTTTATCAATAAGTTGCTGAACATTTTTTCGGCTTAACACATATTTTCCTTTTGGAAATACCTTGCCAAAAATCCAACAATTGCAAATATGACTTGATCCGAATCCGATTGATGGTTTCCAAATTGCAAACCGTTTACAACTTCATTTCGATTTGGGTCCAACGAGTATGTCTGCAAGGGTATAGAATCTTCGGTGCCCCGAAGACAGCTCTTGTGTTTTGTTTTTTTTTTGCGTGGTGCAGTTGGCAGAAAAACAAAATTTTCGGTTGCAGCAAGCAAATGGAAAATTGATTATATATATTCACAACACACACACACACACACACACACACAATAAATATAACAATCAAAAAGAAAATATTTGTTTGTAATTTTCAACAGGATGTTTTATTGCTTATGAAAGAGTTTTGCCGAGAGTTTTTAATATCCCAATGCTGAAAACTTGAAGAGAATGAGTATATATAAATGCAAAATTTAAAATGTTTTTGTAAACCCCGATCCGAAATTAGAAAGATCAAGTTTCACAAACGTCAGACTCCGACAACTGTCTTAAAAAATATATATTTAAAAAGATTGTTATTGATAAGGCGGGGCGCAGGGATTCAATGGAACGGCATATCCCGTATTTCTTTTGATATCGGCTAACAAATCAAAATTAAGAACTTTTCAACGGTACTTTTAAGTTGTCCACTAGCCAAGCACTCCTGTTTAGAGAAGATCGGCCAGGCCAAAGCTAGCAGGAGGCCGATGAGTATCCAGGCTCTGCAAAGGGACAGCTGAAGAGAAATGCAAGAAATGAGAAAGTGTAAGACTCTGGAAGACTTCATGTTGATAAAATAATGTTCTTTATTATATATTAATAATTCATCTTTGAAGCGAACCAATTGCAGGAGCCGTGAAACGAACCACAAACAATATTTTTATCGGTTTGGTCATGCTTGGATCAATTGAATTATTGCCCTAGCTTAAATCAAATGTTTGTGTAGCTATAGCTGTGGTGATTTTAATAAGGATCGTAGTAATCGTATATATATATATATATATGCATGCCTACTCAATTTTGCATAGAAGAGTCTGAGGATGCAGCTGAGAACGTTGCAACTCCATTCACATCCTTCCAGCTTAGACGGGTGGATATTTCTCCTCGATGGAGTGATTGCAATCATGGAGATGATAAATGGAATACCAGTGCATTATCTGCTCGGTGGCGAATCCGAACAGAATGCAGTAGACCATCAGGGCCTTGGCGAAGCAGTGCCAAGAGCTCAAGACCAGGGTCCGTTCCGTGATCTTTAACAATAGTAACGAGTTGGTCACGAACATCAGGCAACAGGTGGATACCCAGGGCATCACGAGGAGCACAAACAACTTCTTGCCAGGCTTGATAATGCCATTGAATTCTTGAATGGGCAGCACTGCCAGCATGGTGAACAGTGCCGCAAGCAGAATGCTCTTCCGGAAGCCCTTGATGGCAGCATGGAACTGATGAGACCGATTCGCGTCCAACGTAATCAGTATGGATACCTTCGGCGTATGAATAATTAACGCCAGCAGAAGAGTACCGTAAATGACCTTTGCAATTGTGTCCGACATACTTTTTATTTTATTTGTTTTCCTTCTCAATTGTTGCCTTTTCGCACCGGTCGTCAGAATTACTCTTTAAAATTTGGATTCGTTCGGAAGTAAAATAATATGTGTACTAGATTCATGAGCTTCTGTTCAACAATGAGTTCCTCCAACGGTTTGCTAGACGTGCGCTTCACAGCACTGACGATTTCACATTTGAAAACTAGTGCTGTAAAATGCAAGTCCTACTGTGCAGCTTTTACAAGGAAGGCAAAGCGTCCGCCTACAACCAGCAAAGAGAGAGATAAAAGTCTACACGTGACACGTGAGAAGCTCTACACAAACGAAGCTCTACTATTGCCGGCGACATACATACATACATATATTCCTCTGTGAACTGAATAAAAATAAAGCTGTCATGCTCTGCCCGCTTTTGTAGACTATGCTTTCTTCTTTTCGAACCGACATAAATGTCAGAATTGTTTTGAGTTTCCGAAATAGGGCAGGCCAAAAACGAATTGTAAGTCTATAGTGTAAAATGTTTTGAATTGAAACAATTTGATTCATTTGGTTGTTTTGTTGTATTTATTTTGAGTTGACTGCAACCAAGGCAGCTGTACTGTATTTTAACGGTACGATTACTGTACTTAAATATTTTGTCTTCTTGTTTATATTTGTGTGTTCTCTTCAAAATGTTCACTTTGTATTTGTTTGCTGTTAAAGTCATTCTTGAAACTAGATGCTAACTTTACACTAGATGTTTAAATGAGTTTGCCCCTCTTCATTCTATTTCATGTTGTTGTTAGTTTATATGTATGTGTGTATATGTATGTGTGTATATGTCTTGTATATGCGTTAATCAAATAATTAAGTGTTGCTGTTTTGATTTAAATATTTATGTGGTTGCAGCACAATTGAACCTTTCTCTCTTCAGATATATGTTTGTACATACATATATCCTTTGAATATAATAATGCAAGTGGCGGTAGACTAACTAAACAAATTGGTGTATAATAAATGTATACACATATACATACTTATCATATACGTATATGCATGTATAATTAATAGTTTATTTTGTTTTTATCGCTAGCAACTCATTCGCTTAGTCTAATTGTTGTTTGTTTGTTTCGTTTTCTTCAATATTACTTTTATTTTTGGGAGGAGGGTTTTGTATACCAGAAATTACACTTAATTCTTGAATAAATAACTTTTCATTCTACTCTAATCATCATCCTCATCCTCATCCTCATCTTTCATATCCAACTGCAATCATAATCGATTTATGGTTTTTAACTTATTGTATTCTCGTATTTCTTTTATATATTTTATTTGTTATTTCTTAGTTTTCCAATGGCTCACTTCGGTAGCGCATTTTAGTAAGGTATATTCATCTTGCTTTTCGTAATTATTGCAGGCCTTTTAAGTTGACTTTGTTAAACTTCTTTTTTTTTTTTAGTATTTTTTTTCTTATTTTTCTTTAGTTTTTGTTTTGTTTTGCATTTAGCTTTAATTAAAACACTTAACTTTCCTCTTGGTATTTGCATTTCTATAATTGTACAGCTTAAGTGCTAATAAATAAGTTTTTTTTTTAGGTTTTATTTTTAGTTTTTAATTTTTAAAGTAACGCCTAATTTTATTTTTATTTTTATTTTTTTTTTTTTTACAAATTTTGTAGCTCTGTTTTCCATACTTTTTTAATGTATGAATATATATATATATATTTATATATATATATATACACACATATATATATATATGTATATATAATTAATTGTTGGTATAATGCAGTCTTTACGGCAAAACAAAAACATAATTATGCTATTTGATTTTTCACTTGTGTGTGTGCTGTGTGTGTGAGAGAGAGAGTGTGTGTGTGTGTGTAAACTTTCATTTTACGCTTTAAAAATTACTTGTTTTAAATACGTAATAATAAAAAATATATGTGTATACTATATAAATATTTAGGTTTTTTGCATTTAAAGTTTATGAAACCAAATACACTTATTTAGGCGTTTGCTTGTTGCTTTTTGTTGTTTTTGTTGTTTTTGTTGTTAAATAAATAATATCTCAACTATTTTCCAAATCAATTGCCAATTTATTGAGAATAATATGTGACTATAATTGTTTATATTCTTTTGTTAAAATTTCATTTTTTTTTGCTGGCATTTTAAAATTGAAGCTTGTGTCATTTTGTATTTCTTCTCTTTTTTTTTTTTATTTAAATTTTTATTAATTTTTTGAAGGCAGTTAGAAGTGAACTTCACTTTAAGAAAAATCTCAACTTATCTATTTTCAATTATTTTCCTCTTTCGTAGTTTTTCTTGCTGTGTTTGTCATTCTATTATTAACAGTTACAGACTACGTAAATGTTAATTGTTATTTATATAGTTTTTTACATTTACTTAGATTGCGTGTTTTGGCTTACGTTTAGTATTCAAATTTTAGTAAGCAATGGCTTAAGCTTAGATTTTTATATGCTTCTCTTCCTCTTCTCTGGTTAGCATTCACACAAAAATACATTTTGGTTTGCTTCTTGGTTTCACACTTTTATTTGTTCCCTAAAGGCAATTTCTTTTTGTTTTTTGTTTTTGTTTTTTTTTTCAAAATATATATGTATGTATATATGTGTGTGTATAAGTATTTGTATTAATTTAGGCATTCATTGATGTATGTACATGAAATTTTACACTAACAAAATCAATACATTTAAATGAACATGTAGTAAAACTCTAGATAATATCGCCAAGTTGATATACATATGTATGTAGTATATGTGTAATTATTTTATTATTTGTTTCTGCTAATGATTGGTTTTTGATTATGCATAATTTAACGATATGAACGAATTTCTGATTTTCAAGGACGTCAGTGGTGGTGGCATAGTGAAAGGAAACAAAATTCAAACTAAATTTCATAATTCAGAAATTTAGAATACCCATATGTACTTGAAATAACTGTTTTTTTTTTTTCAATCTAGGCAATGCACTAAGCACGAGTGTACGAAAAGAGAATAATAAAAGAAACAGCTACATCACTTTGTATATATAATGCACACACACATACATGTATGTGCTCACAGTGGTGTCATTATGTTAGTGATGCTTCTGCAACGTTTGCTGCGCACAATAAATAATACGTAACGCATGTACATTGTGTTGCTGTGTATTGTTAATAATATTACAATAAATATTCACATTTGCATGTCAGTGTGTTTTTTGTTTTTTTTTTTAAATGTACATATTATCAAATAATTACGTATGTACAAATTATGTTTATTGAACAATTTGGGCTTGCTTTAATTTGTGTATGTTCTGCCACAAATGTTAACAAAAATTGTATGGCATGGAAGCGATGTGTTACGATTTACTTTTTGTTTAATGATTGTACAATTTGCTATTTGATTAAGTTTGAGAGGGGTTCCGTGATCTGTGGGACGCTAATGAGCCAAAGAGAAAATACACACCAACCAATTCATATGCATGTTTGCACGTACTTATGCACGAGCCCATGCATGTGCAGCTGCCCTCATTTTCTACTTCTACTCCCACTCATTCGCTCTTACTCTCATTTCTCTCTCTAGCGCATGCTTGTGTGCGTGAGTATTTAATGCGGCAAAGAATTAGCGATGGTATTCCAATCCACTTTCTTTTCATATTAATGCCTTTCTTGTTGTTGATTATCAACTTTACATAGTGCATACAATATGCATATGCATATGCATGTATGTATGTAATTACATATAAGACGCTTATGCCCATCTTCTCTCCTTGTTTAATGCTATCTTGCTGTTTACTTTACACGTAAGTTTGTTTCTTTTGTAAAAGTTTAGAGAACAATATTTATTGCTTATGATTTTGCTGTCGTTACTAATTTTGAATGCAAGTATGTATGAGTGTATGAAGTGTGTGAATGCGTGAATACGCATGTTAAATACATACATATAATTTATGAACTACATTTTTTGTTTTCACTTTGTTTTTCTTCATTTAACAACACAGGAACAAGTTTTAAATCTTAAAAATTATGAAAAAAAAAAAATGTTGACACGTAAGATTTTAATATCTTACTGAATGCGGATAATTGGCAAATTATAATATGTATTTCTGCCCTTTCCATATGCAATGTATAAAGTATAAATTTAATGAATTAAATGTAATTTGTTTTAGCATATTTTGCGTATTTTTGTTATTGGTTTACAAGTGACCAGATATAAGTGTAGTATGTAAATATAATTTCTTAGATCTGAATTTTTAAAGCACTTAAAATAGTTTAAAAACAAAAAATTTAAGATTAATCCCCTACAGTAATAATAATGCACTACATTAAAGTTCCACCGACTGCTGTTGGTCTAGAACTCGAACCTTCTATATATTTAAATTAATTGCTGTTATCATTAAATTAAAAATCCAAATGTCAAAAATAAACAGGTTTAAAAAAATACTAATAAAATGTGCTAATTAAAAGTTTATTTTTGTTGGGATTCGCTATGCGCAATGGCGGCTGTTGAATTGTGACGTCAGAGCCGCATTACATTTGCTTAATATGGTAAATGTAACAGCGGTTGTGCAGCAAATTCTAAGAGTTCTGTTTAATTTGAATTGAACTAAATGTAAATGAAACATAGAACTAAATGTATTCCATAGTGTTTTTGTTTTAGTTTTTGTTTTAATGTAGTAACAGTATTTATTAGGCGGTGGTTCCTCACATACGCAGTTACATATGCATTAACGATACAAATTGGTATCAAAGAAATCGATTATGATGGTCGATTTATATATATGTGTGTCTGTGTGTGTGTTTGTGTGCAATAGTTTATTAAGTTTCAGTTTCCACTTGTTCCTTTGAGTTCGGGTCGCTGTTGCAGGTTGTTGTAACTGCAGTTATTGAGGGTTTTAATACGTATATGAAAATGATATATTTATTTATACGTATGTGTATGTGTAGCGCACATAATTGCTGATATTTGTTGCATTTAGTCTATATGTGAATATGCCTATGGTAAATCAAATTTATACCATTTCGTAAAAGCTGATCAATTGAATCGCGGTGTCCGTAGTTTGCTGTACTTTAAACTACATACGTACATTGCTCTGTCTAAACATAATCTGCAAAAGGAATAAAAGATGGTTAACGAAATGATTATACTAATAATGGACAAGGCCACTAGTTGAAACTCACCTTAAATATAAATATTTGGCTCTTGTTTTGTTGTTATTTTAGAAAATATTTGATTTGGATTTTGAATTCGCCGTCCTCTGTTGATGTTGATGTTGATGCTGCTGCAGTTGCCCTTTCCGCTTGTAATGCGCATGTATGCATGTATGCATGTATGTGTGGCTGTGGGTGTGGGTATGTATTTGTATGTGTATGTGTGTGTTTGCTTGCTGTGTTCTGTTTCCATTATGTTAAGCTTATGTTAAATGCATTAAAAGAGCACATAAGAAAAATGCATAGCATGCTTATATGTCTGTTTGTGTATGTGTGTTGAGCATGTTGCATTTTTCTTTGTGTCTTTCATTTGTAAAACTCTTGATAAATTTGGCATAGGCAACTTCTGTTTCAACAAATTCAATTAGCTTGCTCCGCTTGGATCATCGATGCTGCACTGCTGGCTGGGTGCTCTTAAAAGTGCATGTCCAAGTCATCCCCATCCTCCTCGATCAGATCGTCCACTTGGAAATCCGTTGGGGAGAATGTCTCACGTTTTGTGTAGACGCCATCGTAAGCTGCGCTTCCTATTGTGGCAGAAACAGCAGCTGCATTGCGCGCTCTGGAGCTGCTCTGCTTGAGCCCCACATCGGGAATGAGCGGTTTGTTGTTGCGCAGCTTGTTGACCGCATTAGCTGCAGTCGCAATCGTAGTCGCAGTCGCAGTAGCAGCGACGCCGATGGCGCTAAAGTTGGCATTGTAATTGGCGCCGGCGACGGCGACGGCGGTGGTGGCAGTGCGTGCGATGGTGCCGGCAGTGACTGTCGCCGTGGAGACAGGATCATTGTAGCGCGGCCGTTTGTTTTGCAGCTTTGTCGCCCAGCATTCGGTGGCGCGGCGTCGGGCATTGGCACAAATATTGTCGCCGGTGCTGCTGTTGCTGCTGCCTTTGGCGGCGTCGCTAACATAGCTGACGTGACGGCGCTCCAATTGCGTCTGCTCCTGCATTTCCTGGTAGCTTTTATACTGCTCAATGCGGTTCGCTGTGTAGAGGGATGCAGAGGGCAGGCTGTTGGCGCCAGCTCCTTGCGGCCGGCTGGCATTTGTATGTGCGGAGGTGGTGTTTAAGAACATATCATCCTTGACAGCGCTCTTCCCCTCCAGCGCCAGTTGATCGTCCAGCTCGTTGAGATCTTCCCCGGCCTGGGCGCGCTGCTTTTGTCGCAGATGCTGCAGCTCCTCTGCGGAACGCTGCTTACGGAACTCATGCACCAAGGGATAAATGTGCTGTATGGCGGATTCCACGTCATTGACGCTGGCGGCTGTGGACAGGACACAACAAATAATTTATATTGCGATTGCTATCAAAAAACGAAACTCTATATGCGAGCAATCGCTTGGAAGAGTGTATATTTTAGGTTTTCAGTTTCAGGCAAAACAAAACGTTTACGAAAAGAAGCATCAAATGCGAAGCTAAAAACCTAGTTGAGTTTCAAAAAAAAAAAAAAAACAACAAATAATCAAACATGTTTTTCGACAGATTATTCCAATGATTATCTTAGATCCCCTGCGACAAATCAACTGCGTTCAGCATAGAAAAGGGATTCAAATACAGATTTATTCGGCAATCGAAGCATAATACACAAGATCGAGATGAGAATAGATGTATATGCATCTCTCTCTCTTTCCCTCTGCCAATATACAAACGGTTACGAATGTGATAACAAAGCAAAGCAGGCAATGTGAAATGCTCTCTCAGATGAGCATGAGAGCAAACGCAAAGGGCATTTCAGATACATATAACTTTTTTGAAGCATTCCAAACAGATGCAATCCTCGCTTGGTCGCTCACCTGTTACCGTTATGCTGCCCGTGGAGAAGATCTTGAGCGTGGCCTTTGGCTCGCGCATCTTGTACGTAACACCCGGATGCAGTTCGGGCTCATAGCTGGCATTGTCGCGATGGCGCTCCGAGAAATTGACTATTTTAATTGCCCAGGGCATGCTACAGGTGCCCAGCACATTGACGATGCGAAAGTTCTGGAAGTGCGTCGGAAAACCCAGCTTGCTCAGGCAGCGCGCGTAGCGACGGGCGGCGATCTTGGCCTGCAATCAATCGATCAACGTCCACAGTGTGAGTGTCAGAAGAGAAATGCTATTTGGTTGGGGCTTACCTGTAACTCGGAGGTGGCGCCCGTGCACGTGATCCTGCCCGATGACCAAATCGAGGCGGTCGTATAGGGACGACGCAACTTCATCGTTACCATGCCGTTCTCTCGCCTATACTCCACATTGGAGCCATTGAGCGCGATCTCGCGCAGCTTGAGATGACAGCGAACGCTGAATGAGCAGACCACATTGTTAATCACAATGTCCAGCTCGGGCTCAGCATCCTGGTCGGCGGATTTGATTGAGTTTGGGGCTGACGATAGCAGGGCCAGTGCCTCCTCCACCTCCTGCTTGATCTCAATTATGTCCCCAATTTCGTTGCCGATCTGCAGCTCCTCGTGCTGCAGCTCATCGATCACAGTCGCTGGCTGTTGCTGTAGTTGTTGCTGTAGTTGTTGCTGCTGTTCTTGTTGTTGTTGTTGTTCTTGTTTTTGTTGTAGTTGCTGCTTGTTGATTAACACCCTGTTGCCATTAGGAACTGTTGTTGTTGTTGCGGTTGTTGCTGCTGCGGTGGTTGTTGCTGCTGCGGTTGTTGTTGCTGCTGCTGCTGCTGCTGCTGCTGTTGTTGCTGTTGTTGGTGTTGTTGTTGCTGCTGCTGCTGCTGCCGCTGCTATCAACTTGTTGTTGTTGGTTGGGGTGGCAAAGATCAGCGGCTTGCTGCCATTAACCAGCACCATGGTATCGCCATTGAGCAGCTTCCGTTGCCCAACACTGGTGTTCAGCTGCTGCACCGGCTGCAGTTTGCTAAATTGCGAAAAGTAGCGCACGGTGCCAGCTGTGCTGGTGGATGCTGCCGCATTTGTATTGCTGACAATGCCGATGCTGTTGTTGTTATTGCCCGCTTTGGCGGTGGACACAACGCCAACGCCTGCGGCTGTAGCGCCGCTCACAGATGTTTGGCGTGCGGCTAGATGGTAACTGGAGGCGGGCGTCAAATAGACACGCTGCGCATTTGTCAACACTGTGCCGGCAACGCCGACGCCAACGCCAACGACGGTGCCGCTGCCGTTAGCTGCCTTGAGGCCGCCGTTCATATTGGCCGCTGGTATGCTTACCATATTGTTTTGCATTAGGCCGCTACCCCCCACCTCCTGCACTTGCTTAGGTTTTGAAAATGATTTTATTACAGTTTACTTTGCACTATTATCTCTCTGTCCCTCTCTCTTGCCGTGTATCGCAGCAGAGGTACGGTTATAGCGGGTTCTAAAACACTTGCTAACGTGACTGCTGCTATTCCGGCTGGGTGTTCATCGCTGCCCACTGCTGCGCTGCTGCTGCTGCTGCTTTCGTCTGGCAGCGGCTGCGGCTGCGGCGGCAGCGTTGACGGCGCTCAAGACTAACAAATGTCGCGCTTGTTGCCGCTTGCTTTTTTTTTAGTAGTTGTTGTTTCGCTGCAGCTGTTGCCAGAGTTGCCGTACTGCAAGATTGTTGATTTTCTGCTTCCTGTTGCCTTCTCCTTGCTGTCAGAGAGAGAGAGAGAGAGTAGGCGATAGTTCTTTTTCTTGTTCTGTTGCCGGATCTTTGTAACTTTGTAGCTGTCGCTGTCGCTGCTTGTGTTATTAGCTTGTTTTAGCCTACTTAGAGCGTAGCCAGGTTTCTTCCTTTTATCGTGCTTGCAATTTCTTATGGTAATATACTAGTGTTTTGTTGTTGTATATAAGGCTAAAGTGATTTTTGTTGTGTTCGCTGTTTGAATGATGACAAAAAAACAAATACTTTGCTTTTAAGATTTAAATTAGGTTTTGATTTGTGGCTGTTGTTATTATTATAATTATTATTATTGCTAGTCTTCCGTTCTTTCTCCTTTTTTTTATGAATTTAGCTTGGGGTTTTGTTGTTCCTTGTTAACAGTCTGCAACGAGAAAGCAAACAATCGTATATGAATATCAATTTATGGCACGAAAATCAGCCCATTTTGAATCTTTTTATTCAACACTTGCCTAGCTCAGACAGAGTACGAAAGATGTCAACCCTCACCTTGCCAAATACTGCAAACACAACAACAGGTAGCTCACGCTGACGTCGACGCGGCTCGGCCTGCAGATGGTGCATATAAAACTAAACATCAATGAAATCGATGACACACATCGCATATGGCTATCGATATGCGTATAATATATTCGTATACATATATACATATATATATTCGAAGTGCCTAAATGTATGTATGTATATACGTGCATATATCCGATATACGCCCACCCACAACAAAACGGAACAACTCTCAACAGCTGAGCAGGCCTAACAGCTGTTGCTAACAGTCGTCTGTTTGTTAACAGCTCATAGGATCGCAAAGCAGCAACAGCGGCGACAGCAAATTCAACCTTAACCCAGTTACGCTGCCTGGGGTGGCCTGGTCGGGCCGATGTAAAATTCATGTATGTGTGTGTGTATGGCAACTGTTAGGCGAGGCGTCGATTTGTTGTTTGCCGGTGCAACTTTTGGGTCAAGGGCGACATGCGAAAAGTGGCACACACGGCATCAAAATCTGGCGCGATGTCAATTGAGCACAACGTTGACGCAACTGCAGCTACGAAACTGCGACTACTGCCGCCGCGCTGCAGTTTGTCATTTAGCATCCAAAATCAAATGCACTTGCTAACGCACACAAGCACACCTACGCATACACATGCAAGCGCACGGCGACAGAATACGGCAAATGAGTAACAACGACAGTGAACGTGAAGCTGCAACTGCTGCTGTGCTATTTTTAGAGCGGCCGGGCGGGTGGTCGGCCAGGCGAGCAACGGCAGCAAGTGCAAATCAAAAATTGTTATTGTAAATTAGCGCAAATTGTAAAATGCAAATGTCCGTTGAGTTGCGGGAACAGCGGCAGCTTTAATTGTAAATTTGCGCTAGTTCGCTCTGTTCTTGTTGGTTGCATTAAAAAATGTGACAACAAGTAGCAGTATGTCTGAATGTGCATAATTCAAAAAATAAGACAAACGCTTGCTTCACACGCGAGTGCTATTAAATTGTTATTATTATTGAATCATGTCTCTCTCCTCCCACAACCATGACTCACAATCAGCTGTGCAGCAGTGAGTACGCTAAGGGCCACGCACTTGCTATAGAAGAGTAACGAGTGAAAGTAACAACCACCAGCAACCACATACATACATACATATCTGCTCTGCTGTTATGTTGTATATGCATGCGTGCGTGCGTGGTGTGTATACATATGTGACCCAATATATTATATACATATGTATATGGGCACATCAGCTGAGTCTGACTTTAATTTGCAAGAGTTCTTATTTATATTGAAATTGAAAGATCCATTTAATTGAATAGCATATTTTATTTTTTTATTACATAGTTACTCAATTGGCATAGGAAGCCATAATAGAAATATGTACATGTATGATGCGCTGTGCGTGCGTGCGTGCGCGCCTGCGTCGCATTCTGTTGCTGTAGCCGCTTTTGTCCGACTATTTTCGACGGCAGCAGCAGATAAAATAAGCAAAAATCTACTTGTCGAGAATGTTCAGTTTGCTGATACCCTACACCGAACACAAAATATAAGTGTTCATACATTCTTATGGAGAATACACAAAGTAAATTTCATTCAGAGATGTGCAAAAATGTGTAAAGAAATCAACCAGTGGATGTACATTAATACATAAAGGTATATACATATATATATACATATATAATTCAATGTTATTCGACTCAAGCGCCAATAGATTGGGATAATAAGTATATTCTTTTTCTTAAATTGATAAACCCTTTTTAATTAACTACAGGGTATACGCTATCGTGGAGGCAGACACGCGAAACGAAAATAGGAAGCAATAAAACTTAAAAGAAACAAATGCACAATAAAATGCAAATCAAATGACAAATGTGTGTGCTCATTGCTTGAATTTCAATACAAAACAGCAGAAATGTGAAAAGATTTATTTGCCCAGCAAAACAATTTGAAGTACATATGTATGTATGTATGTATGCACAGACGAAGAAGGCATCTGCGCAGTTTGCCTACACTAACATACAGATGAATGCGTATGAATGTATGTATTCAAATTCATAGGTAAGCTGCATTCTATCGAAATCGAAATTTCAATTATTTCACAACACTGCAGCATTAGTGGCAGGTATGTATGTACACGACAGCCATTTTGGCAATTTTCCATTTAGCTTTGATACCCTGTAAATGGTATTTGAATATACGAATAATGTTAGAAAGATATATAGGAACGACCTTTTTGTATTGCAATATATTTGTACAATGCTCACCAATTACGTTTTTTCTTTTTTATAAAACAAAAATCGGAAAATTAAATTATATTTTAAATGTCAAAAAGGAAGCTAATTGTGGCTTTGTTGCTTTGATACCCTTGTATAAGGGATTATAATTTTGTCACAAAATATGCAACGCAAAACAAGGAGGAGGCTTCTCCGATCCCAGAAAGTTTACATTTTCCCATTCTGTCTGTTTGTATGAAACAAGTCTATAAACTAAGGGAAAAATCTGATGAAAATAAAGTATTTAGTTGCAAGGGTATATTAATTTCAGCGTGCCGCAGATACCCTTTGTTTTTTTTTAAATTAATTGGACGCTTAAAACAGCAAAAGTTAAATAAAATTTAAAATACACAAAAGGCGTAAAAACGAAAGCGTACGGGAACGACCCCTAGATACTTCTGTACATACATATGTATGTATGTGCACACATATGTATGTACATATAACGTGCGCCAGTTCATTAACCTAGAACGCGAACAAGTAAATACGGTAAAGTCCGTGCGATCGACAATGGCACACCTCACCTAAATTGTACATATGTAAATTCTTCTAAATGGAACGCTTGTCAGTGAGAGAGCGAGATCTGAACGCCATCTTCGGACGCTCTCATTTCATTGCTATCCCAGAGATTAGGATTAAGGTATGTTTATGTGATTATACATTCATATTTGAATACCTCAAATATACACACAAAATAATAAGTTCTCTTACTGATTACTTCCGCGTTTATGTTTCCATTATGATTAAAATCTCAGAACAAAAAAACATAATATACATACGTAAATATTTGTATGTATATATATACATACATATAAACATACACCTGTGCTCAGAACATTTGCTACCCACAACCTTTTAACCTTTAATTTCATTGCAACGATCTAAAACTTTAGCAACAAAGCTATACGGTTAACCCAAAGAGTGCATAAGCAACAATACATACACACATACATACACACATACATACATACACACATACACACATACATACACACATACATACATACTTACATACATTGGCAATATTAATAATAAATGCGCCAAATGAAAAATGCCAGTCAACGCACCACAACCCAACACAACAATTATGCACTGACATATGTACATATGTATGTACACTTATAAATTTGTGTATACATGTGTGTGTGCACATACTTCAAAAGGCAAAACAAATCGCGTACGTAAAAAGAAAAAAAAACGTTGCTGAACTTCGAAATTCAGGTTCAAGGCCAAATGACAACTGTTTTCTAGCAATGGCAACAAAAAGACATACATATGCATATACACATGCACACATACACACATGCATGCACATGTGGCGAAGCACACACTCATACAGAAGTAAACTCAGAAATTGTCGCTTGTTGTTGCCAAATAGCAAATAGCACAAAATCAATCGATTTCTGCATAAAGCTCGGGGTGGGAGCCCAAGAGACTTTAGACTTCCATTTAATACAGATTGACGATACGTAAACAACATATATATGTATGTATGTATGTTGGTGCACATACATATGTACATTACTAGCGGGTTTCACCCGGCTTTGCCCGGGTCACCCACTTCATGCTATACCTAAAGCCTCCCCATTTTCCACTCGGCAAAATTGATTTTCTGCAATCGGTGAATTACGTTTAAATGGATTTTAACGTAGGTATTTAAAAATGAGCCTTAAAATAAATAAATGAATGCATTTTTTTATAAATCGCTCCACATGTCTTTATTTATTTCATTATGTATAATAGATTTTTTAAATCTGATCGGATCAACTTGATGCGGATAATGTTGCTGACGTATTCTCGGGCAAATAACCGCAGACCCGACCCTGTTTGTAGGCATGACTGATTCCCATCGCACACTGAACTAGTTCTTTTTCCTACTCTATTATATTACCACTGCCTATACTTAGCAATAATTAGGCCAATCCTACCTCCTACCTCCTAGTTGAGAAAATACTCTTGAAATTTGAATATTGGCATGATGGGACTTACGAATTTTTAATGAATTTAATGGAGCATCTTTGTGAGGATGACAAATTAAAAATTCTATAAACAGACACCTCACCCGTAATTTCAATTTTGATAAACGATCGTCTTCTATTTAACATTTACCTTACATAGAATGTGTAATACAACTAACAGTAACAATAACAGACTGTCAAATGCATACATACAAAAATACAAGCTATCATTTTCAGCGATTATTTTGAAATACAATTAAAAATTGAACTTATATCAGAGTTTTGAATACTAAAATGAATGACGAGCATACATATGCCGGAAAGAATCGATTAGTCGACAATCTGATCAGCTTTATATTTAAGCAACCGACAATGGACTCTTGCTAATGGAAACACAGAATGTGAAGTATGTTAATATAAGATATGTTGGGCATAATGAAATCAGGCCAATAGCAAAAAGCTTTGGCGAACATTGTCATAAAAGAACAAGCCATAGATAGCAGCAAATGCAGCAAACACTGCCAAATGAGTAAATGAGTAACGCCTGCCGACATACTCGAATGTTTGATGGCGCATGCACCGTAGTAGTTTGCGGTAGTGAGTACGCACCACAACTGTTTTTTGCAAAGAACGTCCGCACGCAAAACCAATTATTGTATTTATAGTTTTTGTTTTTAAGCACATAGTAAAAGCGTTGTTTTACTTTTATTATAGAACGTACATATATATAGGAGTATGCATGTGTTTGTGTACATATGCATGTGCATGTAGGCTTCCGTTCCATATTTCTAGAAACTTAAGTGTTATCAACAACAAAAACGACAATATAAACAAGAGTTCGCTTATAGTCTCCGACTAGGCGATGCCCTGTACGCAGCTTAAAGCTGACGTAAATGCGTACTTCTCAAATTTGGAAACCATAGGAGTTATATAAAAAGGATTCTTACGCTGGGTATCGAATACTGACATTCCACAAGTAGTGAATATATTTATATGTATCGATATTTATCGATCATTGTCAACAATGATTTGAAATAAAATTGATCTGCACACGATACCTAAAAAGCGTTATACCAAATTTAATTCCTATATTCACTTGACGCGTTCATACCCATTTTCAATGGGTACGGGGTATAACAAAACTAAAACTACAATAGCAACCTTTTCGAGACATGGGCAGCAAGAGCCCCTCTCCACTTCAAATGAAAAAACGTGCTGTTGTTACTCTCTTTGTTGCTGCTGTGGACGATGATGATCTCGCCCCGCCGAGTGCGCAGTTTAATATTTCGTTCTCTTTTCTTTTCTCCCTCTCTCTACCACGGTTTTTTCTCATTGTCCTTTGTTTTCTTTACTCGCTTTTAATAGCCCATGAATCAGGCAACCAAAAACTGTGTTCAGTTGGTTGCTATCAATGACCTAAAAGTTAAATTTGATCATTTTTAGGGTATTATAATTTAGTCTCGAAACTTGGCATTTATTGATTTCAGTATGCTTCTCATATATGTATGTATATTCAAACTGCTATCAACAACGGACTACTATGTCTTATAGCTGCCATAGGAAAGATCGGTTGAAAATTAAGTACTTGTATGGAATACTTGTTTGTTTAAAAAGATATCTTCCAAAACTTGGCATTTATAAGTTTTACTATGCCCCTACATGTATGAAAAATCTTATCAGCATCGGACTACTATATAATAAAGCTGCTATAGGAAAGATCGATGGAATAGTGGAATCTCCTATGACAAAATATTCTGTTTTCAAAGATATTTTAGAATTTTCGAGCTGCACTATTCTCACATAGCAGCAAAAGGGAAATGTCTACAAAGGTATTAAGTCTTCGGCGTGCCAACTTTCTGTTTTTTTTTTTAATTTTTGATTTATAATGATACCAAACTTGACAGAATGAATTTAAAAATTGTCTTTGAAAGGACGAAAAAAAAGTACATCCAGAACGTACTTTAGTATGTGTATGTATGTATATGTAGATCGTCCCAGCCACCGCACGTTTTTCGTCCTACCAGCCGATTCGTTCAAAGCACACTAATAATATTCACGCTCTTCAGATTTTGCCTTTGCTGCCCACGCTCACGCACGCAAAGAGCACATAGTATCTATGCTGTTACTGTTATATTGACGCTCTTGTTGCTTTTTATCAGTGCTGTTTTAAAGCTCAAATATGCTGCTCGAAAGCGAGACTCAATTTCAATGCACACATACATATATCATGTATGTAAATATATACATACATATGTTAATATGTATGCGCTCATTAGATTAGTGTTTAAATTGTGGGAAAGCTTGCGATTACTATATAATGACATCACAATTATCGTTGGCCGGAAATTATATCGTACACATTCATATACATATATATATATATATACATATACAACATATGTATGTGTGTATGTATATGCAAGAAGTTAACTACATGATTAAGCGCGATCGCCAAGCGCAGCGTCAGCCAAAGAGAATGACGCGTGAGCCGCCGCACGTTGTTCTTTGCACGGCAAATGGCAAAAATCGCTAAATAAGTTTGTTTTTGCTGTTGACAAATGTAAGTCGCCAAGACGGCGTACAGGTTTCCACGCTTCAATCTTTTAGGCCACTGCCTGTTCTCTAACGGAATGAATCATACCATTTCATCATCAGTTGCAAAATCTACAACAGTTACGATTTAAGTGCGTCATAAATACTCATTTCCCCCCACCACTAATATATCAAACAATTGTATAAACGCTTGTATAACTGCAATAAGAATGCATAGGAATTGAAACAAAAAGCTCAGGGTGAGGTGCGTACTTATGCTCGTTGTTAGGTTGTGTGTGTGTACGTGAACTCTGTTTGGCAGTCATGTGTAAACAAACCTGTTCATGGAGTAGCGGGCGCTTGGCAACAACAATATACAAAATACTCACACAACAGGTGACTGCGTAGAGCTTGCAATAAATATGTATGTATGTATTTATGTATATACATAAATGTATGAGTTTACATAAGACGCAGCGTAACAGTGGCCTGAATGTAGGGCGTTTACAGTAGTATGTTAACGCCGAACAGCAGCTGTTAAGTCCAGAAGCATGACCCAATTTGTATGTGTATATATGTTTGTATTTGACTAACCAGCTGACCGTATTCATAACAGCAGCAACAACCATCAGAAAATCAGCAAAAAGGGGGCAATATATTATACATACATACACACACACATACATATATATGCAAAAGTACGTACATATATGTTTTATTGATTAAATGCAGTTGACGCATCGTGCTGTAACGCCAGACACTCAAAAGCGCCAAGAGTTTGTCGCCATTTCCAATTCAGAGCTAGGTCTCAAAATTGACATAATCAAATTTATATATATATATATATATATATATATATATATATAAATATGGTATGATTTATATAATTGCAGAACCCAGCGCTCAGCCTAGCTCAAAATGTGTACAGATATGTATGTGTGTTAGTGGGTGCGTGCGCATGTGCATGTGTGTGACGTCAACTGTATTTGCGGGTGAAGTGGACAGTCGACAGCGCTCCTCGCCCCCAGAGCAATCAGCTGCAGCTGTCCAAAAGCACTGCAGCAATGGCTGTCAGCTAACAGTTGCCATGCGCTTATGTAAATGTACATACATATGTAAAATAACATATATCGATATATGTACACATGTATGTGTGCAGCCTTTATGTAAATTTTATTCAGGTTTAGTTTGTAAAATGTTAAAAGTCCTATCGAGAATATTGACATAGTATTTGTAATGCATTAGATGCATTCTGTCTGAAACTCTTATTTTGGATAAGTCTAAACCATTTTTTTAATGGAGAAATAAGGCTTTACAAAAATTAGAAACACCTGTCGAGCCCAAACGTTCTAATCAGCAAAAATTATTGATATTTCAAATGCTCTAAAATAAAAACAGCTGATTTTAGCATAGTAAATAACCAAACAGGGTTGATGATAAAATAAAAAATTTTTTAAACAACAATATGACAGCATCTGCATCTGCAGCACGACAAAAGCTGCACTTGCTAACAGAAGCAACAAAAATAAGAGAGAAACAAACGTTTTTTTTAGCGGATTTACAGACAGAACCGGTTTAATTTAAACAAAGTGCATATACATATTTATATGTATGTGCATACGTGTATGCCTGGTGCATAGATGAGCGAGAGTCTAAGAGAGTGAGACCGGCGTCTTGTTGCCGGCTATTTGGATAATACAATCGCTTCAGTGCGTCATCGACAGTTACATATTTGGTTACTCAGTGTCCGAATCGGAGACGCAAGACACCCACGAACGATCTCTCTGTACTCGCCCACGACTCGACGACTGTTTCGTTATCGAAACTAGTTATCGATATGCGATTGCAGTCACTCACCTCTTAATAGTCCTTAATTAGTTTTGTTTGAAATCTTGACCAAGGAGCCTGAAAAACACGCAAAAGAAATAACAAAATTAGATAACGATATCAAATAGTTTTTATCTGTAATGTGTATGTGTAGTGTTGACACAGGTTAGGTACGTCGAATTAATCAATTCAGACAATGCAGCAACTTTGAATACCCGAAGATTTTCTATATGTTCTATAACTTGGATAATAAGCTTTTGATGAAAACATTTACTTGTTAAGAATATTTGTTTGCAAGTGAAATGACAATACATAAGAATAAAAATCTATGTATATGTATGTATATATATATATTTATACATACATACACATATGTATACATACACGCATATATGTATACATACATACATATATGTATACATACACGCATATATGTATACATACATACATATATGTATACATACAAACATATATGTATACATACATACATATATGTATACATACATACATATATGTATACATACATACATATATGTATACATACATACATATATGTATACATACATACATATATGTATACATACATACATATATGTATACATACAAACAGAATTTAAATATTTGTGATGCTCTTTTGGATTTCAGCTTTTTGACGACTTGAGCGAACACGATCCACTGTTTATACACATACATACATACATAAGCAGATAAACACACATGTGTACATACAACCATATACACCGATAAAAAATGCCATGTTAGAAATATGATGAGAGAAGCAGAATGGGCGACGCGATGGCTCAAAGTGAGAGCGCAGAGTTTGTAAAAGCTAAAGAGTTTGCTTTTAGGGGGTTGGGAGCGCAGGGTCTTATCGAAAAAACAGTTATCGGGTTAACATAAACAATAAGGGAACCTACATAGACCGGATGTATTAAGGAATGTTTCTGTTTTCATTTGCATATGTTCAACAAATAAGTTGCTGTTGATATTGTTGCAACAACAACGACAATGCAAGGATTGTACACTTTCCACTAAACTAATGTAAATGCATATGTATATGCATGTGTGTGGATGTATGTGTGTGTGGCAGAGTTGAAAAATGTTTGCTGACATGCGCCATACTTAAATGGATCCCATAAAAAAGAAGAAGGAAAAAATAATTGTTATCCCTAAGCAAAGGCAAAAGGCAAAGACCAAACGCAACCCCAAATGTCGACATCCCCTTAATTCAGTTCAAAGATGTCAATGAACCACACAAAAAGAGAAGCTGTAGGCAATGGGATAGGGAACGACAACAAACTCCAAGTCGTTGACATTTTTGGGTTCCCAAAAAGCAACAACAACAGCTCGCACAGCTGTCGGTTTGTTATGATTAACTGTTAACCGAGGCCGCCAGACAACATGGCTTTGCTGAAATTTGTATTTTTGGCAGGATAATGAAATCAATATACAGGCACAGCAGCAGAGTTCAAGTGGAAATGTGCTCAAAAGCTTGCCAATGGAGACGATGTCTGGCAGGCCAATAACACACACACACGCACATTTACGGCGAGTGCAGACAGCACAGAACAGAGAAAGACAGACAAAAAAAATGTTAAACGCTGCTCATCAGACTGACCTTGGCCGCAGTTACCGTTAGATGGTAAAACACAATTTTATTAACACCACATCAACAGCTACATACATACATACATATGTATGCAAGTATTTATGTACCAACATACTTTTGTATGCATGATTGCTTATATTAATATAAGTAGAAGGGTATTAACGCCTCGAGAGCCGAAAAATATATTTGTATTACTTTACAACGTGATCGAAACGAAAATCAATTAAACTAACATAAATATGTTTGTTAATACACAAATACACACACATTTGCATGCAATCGTTTGGGTAAGCATACATACGTTTATTTGAATAATTCCAATAAGAATATCACATGTGCTTGCAAGTCAGCAGTGTGTACACACTGTGCGCGCACAGCCATGGGCGTGCCAATTTCGATCGCCTTTGCCTCGATTTGTATTTACATACATATGTACATAGAACCACTGCATTTACATACCATTCATTGACTCAATGGGCATGACACACTTCCGTGATAGAAGCAGTAAACAATAACATTGAGAAAAATACTGTAATGTGTGCAAACACATATTCTGCTAAAATGAAGCTGGACCCTTGGACAATAGAGAGCGCGTTAACAGCAAACATTCGAATACACATATTCAAACATACACACACACTTACATAGACATAAACGACAGACAACTAAGCCCAACAAAGAAAGCGCAACAATGGGGGCAGAAGCAGCACAAAACGAAGACGAGCTTAACAGAAAGTAAAAGTCGAAATCAATGAATTTGTATATTCCGCTTGTTGAGTAGTAAATTTCTTTTCGTATGCCATCTTCTATTCACACACACACATGAGCACAAATTCGCAATATACATGGGTAAAGATTACGTAGTTGCCCACTCCACAGTAAGCTGTAGACGCATGCGTCCAACGGAGCAGACTACTGATGTTGACTGCGAACATTTTTAACATTGACATTCGTTTTTGACTTGTCCCTGCTTGCCTAAATCTGTCCTCTCTCGTTATTTCTGCCTTTCTTTATCTCTCTCTCTTTCTCACTTTGCCTTTCGCACATTAACCGTTCGTTTTTGATGGTCAGTAACCAAATAATCAAGCGTGTGTAAATCAGGCTTATGTACTTACATACATATGTATGTATACATATACATACATATATGTTAATTTATGTAGAGCCATTTACATATACCATATGTATATAAACTGGACTGCACTGGCTAATTTTAATTGCGTTGCTGGTCGTCACAAAGCCGCCCGAACCCACCAGACTCGTATCTTTAGTCGTACATACAATTTAGGTGCCCAATTCTGCTTGAGAACTGTGTCAAAATAATGAGACAAGCGACAAGACAAGAAGGTTGTACCAGATTAACAGTTTGCAGATATTTAACGCCAACCCAACTAATCGATAAGCATTGCAATCTGATGATCGATCAGTTGTATCAGGCGATTATAACGTTTATGGAAGGGAGGGTAACGATGAAGATGACAAATGCGGCAATGATTACCGAGCAGCCCCTTACGACGGTCACACGCACACACGCATGCATACAATATATTAAAATTTCATAAGCATAAGTCAGAAATTGGATATTTTCACAACCTACATACAAACAAGCTTAGGAAAACAAACCGTGTGTACGTACAAATGTGTATACATATGTATATATACAAAATCAATTACGAGCCATTTGCAAGCGATAAGGCGCGCACAGCTCTTTTCACCCTCTCACTCGCACACTCACTGACACAATCAGTTCCTCTTGCGATCATTTACCAAAAAGGAGGGCAAATTCCATTTTGTAAACACATGTAATGACGACGCTGGCTAATAAACTTAAAAATCAATTGAATATGCGGGTAGAGGAACAGTCATGAGCACCGCTATCTTCTCTGTTACGTTGTATTTGCGTTCTTACTCTCGATGACAGGTACATAGCTGAACGCCTCTCACAAGCACAACGACGACGACGACGCCATCGATCGATGTTTCCGCACTCACGCGCGCTTCATGCCCATGATTGTCAGTGTATGTGTTTGTGTGAGTGTAACTGTGACGTCGCTTTACATGCTCTATTTTAACGTTTTAAATCAGTGAAAATACATATGTACATACATTTGAATGAATGTACATATTATGTACAAATGCAGCACACTCGAAGACACCACGAAGCACCGTCGGATGCAATATTTGCATGACATGAACTACATATGCCATTTATTTCATGGAGGTCAATTTTAAAATATATTTTAATGGGACAAATTTAGAAAACACATACACACCCTTATATGTACATACATACATGCAGAGACATGTTTTGGATGATCAAGCAAGAAAAAAACGGAACTAACGATTACATGTACATACATACAGATGTTTGTGCATGAATATTGCTATGACATACTAAAAAGTAGCGATAAGTGTGACTATCAAAAGCACATTTACACGCACGCACATTAATGCGGGCATCACAATATTTTATTTATGCAAATTTGTCAAGCGGAAGTTACACATACACGTGTACCGTGATATATATGTATGTACATACATACATACATACATACATTCAAAAAAAGCATGGCACAAAAGAAGGGGCAACCAAAAGGATGATCTATTGCTGCAACGATGACAAGTGGTTAATGTTGGAAAGAGATGTGCAGTCTAGAAAAGCAACGGTCCATAGTCGGCATTGGGATTTGTTTAGCTTGTATGTGTATCGTACGATTCAATTTTGTATTCTACTTCTATGTACGTACATACATACATACATACATACATACGTACATATGTATATTGACCTCGTTTGGCAAAGTATGAATAATATAACAAAGAATAGCAAAAAATAAACTGAAAAAGAAGTCGCAGCCGCACCTAAAAAACTATTACATCACTATGAAAATTGACACACATGCATCAGCATGTACGTATGTATGTTCACACATACGTGTGCATGTATGGATAACGGAAGCAAACGCAAACTCATACACAGATGTAGATGTGAGTAAAATTGAGCGTGGATGTACATACATACATATATGTTTATATATATATATATATTTATATATATATATATATATATATATATATATATATATATATATATATATATATATACAAACATATGTACATATATGTATATACAAATACATGTATATGTATATACAAATACATGTATATGTATATACAAATACATGTATATGTATGTATGTACGATAAAGTTGTAATTTTCACGTCGAGTAAAAAGTATGAGTTGGTAAAATATACGTTTTTAATTATAATTGAATTTAATGAACATAAACAAATTCAAAACAGAACAGGAACAAAAGATTCAGCTGACTTCTTTTGTAATGAGCAAAAAGAAAAGCAACGAATAATTCATAGGAGAGGAAACAGTGAAATGAGTAAATTGCGGCGAAAACTTGTTAGCCTCTGTGGTGTTTGATGGTGTCGCTACACTCCGCGCGCTACAAAGCTACAAAAGAGAGTTGCGGCGAATTCACAATGAACGCCGACGACGACAGCGGCAGCGGTGGTTGACGGCCACAAACCGAAGTTCGTTGAAATTTCGAATGTATGAAAACGTTCAGTCTGCCGCCAGCGCGGGCCCGAGCGTTTAGCTCGAAAACGCGGCAGAGGGCCCAGCGAAAAATAAGCTGGGTCAACAAGGTGACGGGTGGTGGCAGAGCAAGAGCAGAGCATTGTCGTACGAGCGTCTGTTTGCCATTGCCTCTGTGGGTATGCGCGTGTGTTTGTGTGCATGTATGTGCGCGAGCGCGCGACAATGCGATGTGCTTTGCTGTATATAGCGTTTGGCTATTTTTCCCCCCATTATAAAATACGAAATTATTTGAGGAATGCGAATGCGGCGATGGCAACAGCAAGACACACGCATACGTAGGCAGATACAAATGCTGAACACACTGTAGCTGGGGCTCTTTTAAAAATATCCAATGTGCTCTTGGGCGGACAGCAGGCAGATAGGCGGGCGGGCAGGCAGGCGAACTGTCGATCTGACGTCATCTAGCGAACGCAAGGATGAAATTTATGCAAACGCTCCACACAAATGTAGGTTGAATGCCCTTGACAGAACCTAAAGGAAAAGAACATGTCCCTCTTCCGACCCAATGAAATTAAAACCACACACATGCAGATCCAAGAAGAATCTGACCATCACTCTCTCATTCTCACCACAGCAAACGCAATCACTTGTGTAGTTAAATAAAACTCACTGCTGTAAATTTGCCGTTTGAATGTCCCAAGGGTAATAAATTTGTCGCCTGTTTAGGGACAGACTGACAGGAAATGACAAATTCACACACATGCACATGCGTTTTTGAATGTGTGTTCAGAGCAAAGACAAACAGGGCGGCGCACGTGTGGCAACGCTGGCAGTGAGAGCGCTCGTTTATATTTTGCGAATGAACGAGAGTGCTGTGCACGCGCTACAAAGCGACAAATGAGCGTAAAATGAAACTCTCACATTTCAAAATGGGACGCGTAATGGCGCATTTCGATTTTGTGCATTTTACTTTGGCCTGAATGTTATTTGTGGACTGAGCCACATTTATTGCATTTATATTTGCAGCTAAAACACAATGCTGCGACCAGACATACATAATTGGCCGAAATCTATTTACATATAGATCTACACGTGATGATTGTCAGCTACAAACTAGTTATGAAATAAAGAGCCAGCGACGGCGACTAGCTGCTAGCGAGGATGTATATATATACACACATATATAAATATATATATATATATATATATATATATATATATATATATATATATATGTATATATAGAGAGAGAGAGAGAGAGCGAAGAAAAAGTGTAATTGTTTTTTTTTTTTCGGTTGTTAAAGGCAATGAAAATTACGTTTATTTAACTTAAGTTTTTCATTCTTTATATATATTTTTTGTTACTGGTAGTTTTTGTATCATTTGAGTGTTGATGGTTTTTCGTTACGTAGAAATGTGTATTTTTTAGCTACAAATTGTTGTTTATCGTATTGTAATTTTAAATGTACTATTTTTCTTATGGTTATTTTCTTTGTCAAAGCACTTTGTGGATGCTGTTGTTGGTGCTGCTGACTTTTCAATTGCTAAACTTACGAGCTAATTTACAAATTTGTTAGCCTACAGAGGAGTTAAAACTATGCGAAAACTAAAACGAAAATCAAAAAGAAAAGGAAATAATACAAATTGAACAAAAAAAAATCACCTTTTTTCTTTGAGTAGGTGGCGTCGTTTGAAATGTGCTTGCTACTCTCTGGATTGAGCGCTGCTCTTAAAAGCTCGCGGCTACGGCTGCTCAGCGAGCAGCTTTGTTGCCGTTGTTTTGCCTTCTCGCTTGCTCCGCTGTGATTTCTGGGCCGACAATGCCGACCACATTAGCGAGCAAAGAATGTCGTTTACGAACTTTCCGTTACTTCAGCTTGCTTTTGTATTTGTACACTTTTCTTTTTGTTTATGTCTGTTTGTAGACATCGATTCTTACATACATTCGCTTTATGTTTTGATGTATTTGTTGTTACAAAAAACGGTGACTAACTCTGTACGTAAATATTTTGTATGTATATAAGCAATGTGTGTGTCTATATACTGTTGTTTTGCTAGAACTTTTTGCGCTCGCTAAATTGATATAATTAATAGAATATGCATTGAAATGACTGCCTCAGTAGTTAATTAACAGTAGTGTGCTAGTTAAAATACTTTGGCTTCTGGCAAAACAGCAAGCAAACTGGGGGCAAGCAACGGACGACAGCCACAAAGCATCAGCTACAGCGGCGACTCGCTGAGAACACAACAACGGCTAGTGGCAAAATCAGTGTGTGAGTTTACGGCGGCGCGGATAAACGGAATACGCGCACACTAAGCAGCGCGTAGCACGGCGAAGGCGAAAATAACGCGACACAGACGTACACACACATACACAAATACAGAGACGCATACATTCGCAGAGGTAGACAAGGGCAACATTTGAGCACATATCGCGCATGCTCAAGTCCCACTCGCTTGCCTTCTCTCGTTCTCTCTCTCTCTCTCTCAACACTACACTCGTACACACATTTTTGTTCCATTGTATTTTACTTTCGGTGGCAGCGACTTGTTTTTGTTGGCCGCTGCGCAGCGATTTTTGTAGTTGGCGCTCTTGCTCAGCAGCAACGCAATAAAAGTTCAAAAACAGTTGAAGTATACCGCGACGCGAGTAAAAATCTTTCTTCACCGTCGTCGTGTCGTCTTCCGCGAATTTCAATTTCTTTTTCAATTGAACAAAAGCGCTAACGCTTTTTCTCTTTGGTAGATATAAATATTTGTTCATATTCGTGTCAATTATTAAGGCGAAAAAAGTGAATTTTCGACGTTAATATTCAAATGTTTATAAATTGCTCCCATATATGTACATTAAAATATATATATTTATATATACGTATATGTAAATGCCTATGTATGTACAATGTACACAAATAAATGTGTCGCTTCAAAATAGGTTTTTGTTTTTAATTCATTACGTTTCATACATTTAATGTTGCATTTAACAACAAAACAATCATTTTATTGTTGTTTGTGTGGCTGCTGCAGTGTGCGCGCGGCAATGTGTAATTGCATTTTGTTTTTTTTTTTTTTTTATTGTTTCTTTTATTTTTGCTTGCTGCTCTGCCAGTAGGGGAAAAAACTGCCTGAAATTTGCATAAATTGTTTCTTTAACATTGTACGTTAAACAAATTGTTTATTAATTAATAATTATTGCGGCGTTAATTTATTTTATTATCGTGATTTTGTTTAAAATACTTATTAATTTAAACCAGAAGCAAAAAAATTACCAAAAATAAATTCTGAGAGCACTGTATGAGCACACACGTACGTCTTCACAGTCGCTCGGCTCTCTAACAACTGACAGCACTGGGTGAACAGTGTGCCCGAACGTAGCACACGATAAATGTTATGAGCGGTCACACTGCTACAGTTCGGTGTGACCAAAGCATATACGCGCAATAATCGAGCTGAATTTCAATTACAAATAATCATGTCCGAACTCTGCTAATATTACATAATTTTAATATTCTCAGCAAGAACCGAAATAAAATTTTAAAATAGCTGGTTCCGAAGTTTAATTACACATCTTTAAACTTGGTCGGACTATACCTGGAAATTTAAACGAGTTGGAAAACATTTTATGCACTTACTGTTGTCAAAATTATACATGTATAATACATATATTTCACAGCTAAGACACACCACGTGCTCCAAACTAAAATAAATACCCGCAACTTAAATAATAAGATTCTTAGCTGCATGCAAGAGTGGGATCAAAATCATTTAGTGTAACATATTAATAAACAAGCATAACTTTGAACAGCTCTTAATGTGTTTTTATTACTCCTTTGGTATGTTTACAAATGCTTCTCCGACACACACATATCATAATAGGTTAATATCGACAGTGTGCCCACATTATCCAATCCAACCGTGCAGCTGCTAAAATCTATCAAAATATCGATATTCTGCCTAAAATTGTGACATTCATTTACAAATCATAAGAAATTCAAAAAGATTTACGGTTTTCATAAGCTGTAAATGAGACTTTTGGCAAAATAATTTTTTTAACGTTAATATTTCAAATAAACGAAATTCAACGTTTCGTAAAAATTTATTGTCAATAAATATCGATATCAGTCAAGTCCTAAATTCCATTTAATTATCGATGTGGTGTATTAGAAGAGATGCTGATATTTATAATATACTGTATTAATAAGAATTAATCATCCGATAACTAATATGAAATCACAATTAAATACCAAGGCAAGAATTGTTGATATATCGATAACATATCAACTTCCCTTTTTAATTTGTATCATAATAATTACATAGTAGTATTAATGAGCATTTACTGCTGCTGCATCTAAATGACCACTGCATTGGCATTCTTTTTGCTGCTGCTGTTCACGCCGCTCGCGCCACCGGCTCTGGCTCAGATCCACCAATCCCAATACCATACCGATGAGCAATTTCATGAGGAACTGGTGGTGCGGCCACTTGCCGGCGACCATGTAAACACATACTTTCAATTCACCACACGTTGGCACTATGGCACTCGCAACAATCGTAAGTAACTAAGCTAATTGCCACGCCCATGAACAGCCATTCAACAATTGCCGCCTATTAGTTTATCACACACAGCTGACGCCGCGCGTCATTGCCGAAATACTGCAAACGTACGATGTGAAAGAGCTGCACATAGGCCTGACCCAGGGACTATGGCGATACGAGACTTGGGGCTATCCCATTGTTGAGGCAACCGGTGGCGCCGAGCTTTGGGCCTGGTTTAGTTCACCAAATCTGACTAGCGAGGATGTCGACAAACAATGGATGCGATTGGCCAATGTCTTCTCCGGCGTACTCTGTGCCTCGCTCAATTTCGTCGATAATGCCAATAGCATAGCACCAAAGCATTTATTCCGTCCACAGTTTATGCATCTGGGCAATCAGAGCCAGCAGTTCGTGCGCTACGCGACGCTGCCGCGAGAAATTGTCTGTACTGAGAACTTGACACCATGGAAAAAGTTGCTGCCCTGCGGTAGTGCCTCGGGCCTGGCTACTTTGCTCAACTCGGGCTATGTCCATAATACTAAATACCATTCCCTGGGCGTTAAAGTGCGTACATTGTGCGACAGCAACGACCCAAACAATTGCATTGTGGAGCTGACACAAACGGCTAATCTGGTCTACGATTTAAAACTGCTGGAGCAGAGCAGCACTGACTTCTCTCTGCGCCGTCTGTTCGGTATGGGCCTAAACGGTTACTGCGAGCTGGCCACCAGTAGCAATATTTATGTGCAGCGCAACGAGCAGGGTGAACGCTTTCAATTGGTGCCACCACCACAACACGAGCTGACGAGCACAGTCGGTGGCTATTCCGTTCTATATGGCGTCTATGATATGCAACAACAGTTTGCAGGTCCTGGTGCGCGACTCTTCAACATTGCCTGGGTGGGAGCTAAGGGAAACAGCAACAGGGAGCAAACGTTGCCGCCACCGCTCTATGCGCATCGCTATCTAATGGGCAATGGCCAGAAGCGCGGACGCATTGCCACTGAGGTGACCAACACCCATTACGAGCCCCTTCCTGTTGTGCTCATGGAGCTGGTGCCCTGGTATGTGCATGCCTATCTGCACACGTTGCGTCTACGCAGCAAGCCGCAGCATCTTCACGAGTACAGGGATAAGAGGTTGAAGTTCAAACTGTTGCATTATGCGCCTGGCAAGCAGCGCGAGTTGCCCACACACCTGGAAATTGGTTTTGTGCTGCCTGCACAGAGCAGCGCCCTGATTACCATTGAAGTGGACTATCTGCTGCTTAAATGGCTTGAATATCCGCCGGATGCCAATCATGGTCATTATATTGGCGCTGCCGTCATTAGTAGCCAGCTGCCCATTGGACGCAACTATACGGCCCTGCCGCTGGAGGGGCATCTCTTCAAGGACTCATTCAATGCCTCGCGTGCCTCATATATACTGACATTACGCACCGAGGCACTGATTGTGTCGCTGCCCACGCCCGACTTCAGCATGCCGTACAATGTCATCTGTTTGGCGTGCACCGTGGTGGCGCTGGCCTTTGGGCCCATACACAGTGTCGCCACCAAGTTGATCATTGTGGAGCGCCAAACGACCATACCGCGCAATCTGCTGCGTAAGCTCTTCCATAAGCTGACTAATCGTGCTGGCAAGCGTTCGCCAGATGCTGTTGGCGATCAGCCGCTGAAACGGACACCAGCGGGGGAGGAGGAGGTCAAGCAGCAGCCAGATCAGGCGGAAAGTAATCAATCTTGTGATAAGCAGGTGCCCATGTGATAAACCCGGCAAGCGTTTGAGAGCGAGAGAGAGATAGAGGGAGGGAGAGGGAGAGAGAGATACACACGATTGATAGAAGCAGGGGAGATAGGGAAAGTGGACAAGAGATACTCGTAAGCAGCACCTATTTAGGCAGCTGTTTCAAACATATTCCAAAGTACGCCAGTCATTTTGATACATATGCTATTTAAAGAACTTTGGCATGTCCTGATTATCCGTTACACGAATAAAACGCTCCATGTTCATGTCCATTTATTATATATTTGTTCTCAATCATTTAATAAGATATTCAAACTGTGAAAATAGTGCTCTCTTCATGCTACTTTAGATGGTAAAATAATTCGGTATACAATGATTTTTATAAAAAAGCCATATTCCAACTCATTGTAAATATTACTTAGCAATTCTTGATCAAGTTGACTGTCTTTCCTACTTGGTGACAAACTAGTCTCCTCTTTGATGCTATGATTATGACATTACCCAAGGAGTATTTATCCCAGAACTAACCATATTGGAATAGTATATAAAAAACAAACATAAGAATGTTGCATTTAACTGCATAACTGTAGAAGACATCTATTTTCTCGGTTTGTCCACCGCTTGGTGGGCGTGGCTCAAATATTGTACCTCCAACAGACGAGTTTATATTTCATTTTTTAACACTTATTCTGACGTGAATATACTCGATATAATACACAAATTTGAAAGACGAACAGACACATTGCACAAAACTGCGCTCTATGAAAAGTTTGAAAAGATTTTGTACAAAAAAATTAAGTGATTCCAAGAAACACCTGCTTTTATAGATATCGTTTCGCAATGCACTATATTCCCAATGTAATGGAAAAAAATCAGCGTATAAAAAACATCATTAATAATCATATTTAGGAAACGTGAAACATACCCAAACATACAGAAAATGCAAAATTAGACAGCTTGTTGCTTTTATTGAATGCATTTTGCTTTTGTTTTGTTCTTCATTTATACGTAAGTATTTTTAAATAATAATTGTATCTGTTGTGTTGTTTTGTTAGCAAAAACATTTGCCGTTTCTTAAATACAGTTTCAATATTATGTAAATGCTATCGATGACGATACATACATATATCGTATATCGATCATCGGTAAACCCTTTCGGCTTACAATTACAGCTAGAATAAAGTGCGCGCGCCACTCACTATGCGTTTGAGCAAGACAGCAGCGGCAACAGCAGCCGCACTCACTCACACACACAAAAAGCTTAGCTGCGTGTTGTCTGTGTTAAAAAGTTGCTTGAGTGTTGTGTTTTGTTGTGTTGTGTCGTTAATGGAATATTTGATCATTAAATACTACTTAAATCTTGGTTATTTTCATACTTCTGCTTCTGCCATTTGTCGAATATAAATGGTTTATATTGTAAAATTGTATTAAAAAAAAACTACTTAGTGCATGTTGTGCGCTACATTTTACAATTGGATAAGGACAAAAACGTTAGTACACACACACAAAAAAAATAGATATTAATTAAAAAAAAAGAAGGGCAAACAGCACACACATTAAAATCGAGAACATTAATTAAATTGTATAAATGTAGGTAGTTGAAAATCGTATAAATTAAATGTATGTATGTACGCGTATGGTAGAGTTATATGCCTAATGGACGCGTCTCGACGCTTGGCTCAATTACAGTCGCTACAAATACAAAGTAATGCTATATGTTAAGAAGTATTTTGTTTTATGCTTTCGAATTCCTGCGCATCTATCGCAAAAGCAGGAGACAAGTACTGTTAATAGGGAAATAACTGATGGATAGCGCATGACAGTGAGAGAGAAAGAGAGATAGGGAAAGAGGTAGCGATAGAGCAAGAAGGAACATTACGTGGCGCGTGTTCTGCTCTTGTCATCCTTTTTATCCAGCCTGCGCAAATCGTTGACATCGAATGCTCACTGTGGCGGCTGACTACCATAGTAGCCATATGCGCCTGCCGGCGGCGGTCCTTGTGGTGCGCCCGGTGGTGGCATCTGTGCACCGCCCGGGGCTGGCCTGTAGCCCTGATAGCCCTGTGACGGCGGATACTGCGCATAGCCACCTGCCTGCGGCGGCTGATGGTAACCGTGTCCTGGATATGCGCTCCCTGGCGGCGGCGGTCCATAGCCCTGCGGCGGTGGTGGTGGTGCTCCGTATGGCTGTGAGCCAGGCGCTGGCTGATATTGATTGGGTGCCATTGGTGGTGTTGCCCCATTCGGTTGTGGTGGCGCATTTGAGTTTGGTGGTCCGCCGGGCGGTGGACCGCCCTGTTGCGGCGGTGGACCGCCTTGTGGCTGCTGTTGTTGTTGTTGCTGCTGCTGCTGTTGTTGTTGTTGTTGCTGTTGTTGCTGTGGTGTTCCATAGCCAGCCACACTAGTGGGTGGCGTCGAATAGGTCGGTTGCTGCTGTGTGGGCAGTGGCGATACACCAGACACAGCGGCATTTAGCTGCTGGCCAGGCTGTCCTTGTTGCTGTTGTTGTTGTTGCTGCAGTGGCTTTAAAAAGTAAAAGGCAGATAGAAAAATTAGCTGCGTTTCATCGTTTCCTTTTTTGGTTTACGTACCTGTTGTTGCTGCTGCTGTTGTGGAGCATATTGCGGTTGCTGCTGGGCACCGCTCGCGCCTGGCGCCTGCTGATTTGGTGGCACACCTGCCACAGATGTGGGTGGTGGTGGCGTCGATTGCGGCGTATTGGGTCCATTCGGATTGCCTGCTTGCTGCTGTTGCTGATTGGACGCCGACTGCTGTTGCTGTGGCGGCGGCGGTGTCTGGCTGGGTGCTGTGCTGTAGCTAGCCGGCGGTGGCGGCGGTCCAGCATTTGTGCCCGCAACGCTGACCTGCTGCTGGGCATTTGGTGGACCGGGCACAGGTTGACCCGGATAACTGCCGGGTGGCGCGCCGGTTGCCTGCTGGTACGCCTGGTACGGGGACTGTGATTGGCTAGTGGGCGGCGGTCCATAGTTGCCGGGCGGTCCACCGGGCGTGCCCCCCTGTCCGTACTGATTCGGCGGATAGCCTGCATAGCCCATTGGTGGCGGTCCGGGTGCCACAGCACCAGCATTTTGCGGTGGTGGCGGCCCATATTGATTGGGCAGCACATTCTGTGGAGGACCAGGCGGCGGCGGTCCCGACTGTCCGCCAGCTGTTGGCGGTGGCCCGTACATTTGCGTTGGTGGCGGTGGGGGTTGCTGCCCTGGTGTCACCTGCTGGCTGGGTGGTGGTGGTGGATATGCACCCGGCGGCGGCGCTTGCTGCTGCTGACCTCCGGCAGACACGCCGCCAGCATTTGGATTGGGCTGATAGGCATGCACCACTCCTTGTGCACCCGCTGCAGTCGATGTGGGCGGCATGCCAGCATGATGGTAGGCAGCCTGAGCATTTGGTGGCGGCGGTGGTGGCCCATAGCTTTGACCGGGCGGTCCATACGGATACGCATTCTGAGGCTGGTACTGTGGCTGCGACTGCGGCGGATAGCCCGGATAGTGTCCGTGCTGTTGCTGCTGCTGTTGTTGTTGTTGATAGCTGACCCGGTACTGTGCCTGCGGTGGAGGCACCAGCCCCGGACCCTGTTGCGGCTGCTGTTGCTGGTTGGGCGGCTGCTGCTGTTGTTGCTGCTGTTGCGGTGGCGGCGCCTGACTCTGCCCGGGCGGCAGCGGTCCGTTGTTTGGCCGCTGCTGCTGCTGCTGATCTGCAAAAGAGGAGCATATTAAAAAGTTGTCTAAATGGTTGAGAGTTGCTGTCATTTCACGAGTTTTCCGTTTTCCAGTCTTTGCCTAGGTTCGTTAATATTTAGCGTGACAGAGTCAAAAATATTCAGTGGAAGTTTCCATTTCGACTGACTTGCAAGTTAACAAGCTAAACTTCAATAAAATATTTAAATTCATGCCTGTTGTTTCTATGCGTCTTTAACAATTATATCCTGGACTCTATATTTAATTGGTTTACTGTTTCATTCCAGCATTGCACTGAGCCAAATGGCATACTTAATTATTTAAAGCATTACTTAATATATGAAATAGGAAAACATTTATAGTAACTATAAGTTTAGAAAAATGCAATGAAGGCTAACTGGAGCAAAAGTTATGTCATTCAAGAATTCACAATCTTGCATGGAAAACAGAAAGCGGTACGCCAGGCGTACCCTGATATATACATATATATATATTTTTTTTTTTTTGCTTGCACGCTACTTTACACTTACTGGGTGCTGCATTGGACACAACCTGAGGCCCTTGGCCAGCGCCGGCCTGTACGTTGCGATAGGCGGCCTGCGGCTGGGGACCAGCCTGGCTAACTTGCGGCGCCTGCTGCACTTGGCCGGCTTGTTGTTGCTGCTGCTGCTGCTGTTGTTGTTGCTGAGATTGCTGTTGAGCGTTGGGCGGCATGCCCGGATGTGAAGGCTGTTGCTGCTGGCCAGGATAGGGAGGCATTTGTACGGGTCCAACGCCACCATCTCCGGCATGTTGCATCATCTGTGACTGAATGACACTGCCCGGCGGGGGCGGCCCCGGTGCGCCCTGTTGACCCTGAACCTGCTGTTGCTGTCCAGGCGGCGGCACACCCACGCCTGTCATGCCATGTGGCGCCGGTGGTTGGTTGCCCTGCTGCATTGCCTGCGTTTGCAATAGCTGCGGCGGCTGTGAAACCAAAGAAAAATTTTACGTATAAACTTAAATTATAATTATACGTGTTGCACTTACTGGCAGAATTTGGGCAATATTCATTTGGGGATCGGCAAGTTGTGCCAAGTAGACCAGATTACGATGCAACGCCACGTGGTAGCTCATGCACTCCTGTGATTTGCCCATGTTTTGAAAGTCCTGTATAGCTTGGATGAGTCCGCAATTCTCGTCCAGCATTTTTTGTATTTGTGCCGAGTTCACCTGCTGCGTGGGAACGCCGCCACGTTGTGCATTCGGATTGGGTGGTGTGCCCATCATGACGCCGACACCGCCGACGGGATTACCAACTGGCCCGGGGCCAACGCGCTGCTGCATCGGACCCATGGGTCCCATTGGTCCAACTCCAACGCCACCTGGCGGCCCTTGTCCACTGCCAGGCGGCTGTTGTTGTTGTTGTTGCTGCTGCTGCTGTTGTGTTTGTTGCTGCTGTTGCTGTGGCGGCGCCTGCGGCGGCGGCAACTGCACGGTGCCCGGCGGATGCTGCGTCGGTGGCTGCTGCTGCTGCGGCGGCGGTTGCGGCGAATAAACTGCAGACATTTTACTGGCTGCAGCCTTCTTCTTCCGCTTGGGAGTTTTCTCCTGTTTTTCCACAATTTTAGCGGTTATTATAAAACGGTTCGTGAAAGAAAATTCAATTTAATGCCCCCGCTACCACTCCCCGCTCGCACACACAAGCGCTGATGTGGAGTATGCGGACTTGTCTTAAGCAACAACAACAACAACAACAACAAAAAAGTCTACGCCTCGGGTTTGCAGAGTGCGGCTTTTTTCACATTCGCAGTCGCCGCATTAAAACACATACACACACATGCACATATATATACATATATATAAATATACACATATATATGCATATATATATACATATATTTATATATATATATATATATTCATATATATATATTTAATGGAAATTGTAAACTACTTAATCGTTTTGCGTGCCACGCGCAATAGGAACGTCTTCGAACTATTTGGCCTAAAACTTAGTTTTGCAAAACTTTTACAATGATATACTTTTGCCAAAAAGTCTACATAATTTTTCTTTTTCTTTCCACTTTTGCGAATTGTAAAGAACGTCAACGACGCTTTAAACGATTACAGCGGTCGGGCGATTAACAGTTATCGATGCATTTAATTTTGCTTACACGCTCAGACCGTGCATGATGCCGCGTGGTTAAAAGTCCTACTACCCTTCACGGTTCTAAAACCAGGCACATAATGGCATTAAGCTAGTTCATATTTATACAAATGCCAAAAATGTTTATTCATAGAATACCAATATTACATTGCGAAACAATTAAATAATAGATATTTTTCATTGTCTTGCATGATGCTTGGTCGTAAGTCAACATGGCGTTCTCTAAACCTACGGCCGCTATAATATAAGGTAATTGAATGTATATTATGTTGAAAAAAAATAATACTATTTACATAGTTTAATATTTTCTCTAAATTCTTGTGCAAAATATATTTATATATAGCTGGAAATATTTGCTCTTAGTTTAGCATAGCAAATTATTCGCCGATACAAATGCTAACCGGCATAAAAAATGTAAGACAATATAGCGCATATCGATATACCAACGATAACAATACCACGCTCACGGCGACAATCTCTTTTATTTTTCACAATTTATTTTTTGGACTGGCTTTTGGCCAAATTGATTAAAGAAGTGTGTGTCTGTGTGTAAGCATGTCAGAGTGTGCGATTCATTAAACAAAAAGCAAGAACCAGATTACTCAATATCAAAGTGCAATATTTTTTTGCCGCGCGACACTATTTTATAAATATAAAGATCGAAAGTAAAGGTTTTTTCTTGCAATCTTTTGATTTTCCCTTGGCAGAGAGACTGGATAAATAAATAAGCGCAAACGCAATTCTAAACATTGCAGCACCGCCAGAAACGGCGACAATCAAAATCGACGAAAAATAACAGAATTTGTGACAGCAATAGCAAAAGGCCCAGCGGTAACAATACAACAGTGAAAATGAGAGAAGTGATGAAACATTTAGGGCAATCAAAGGTGTAAATAGTAAAATAAACCCAATCAAAGGCGTGCACACCTATGCACACATGTGCATGTACATGCGTACAAACATAAACAAAAGCAGGATAGATCATATCCTTTTGCAGGCCCCGGCAGAACGCTTGTGTTAAATATCGATTTTATTCCCTGCGCGCCTCTCGCCTGTTTTGTGTATATGTGTATGTGTGTATGAAAGGTATCCAAAAAAGCAATAATTGTGATATCGATACCGATAACGATACAGCAAAGTACAACACGAAACACAAATACAAACAAACAATTTGAGCGCGTTATCAAAAGCACAAGAGCAATAACAACTTGGTAGCTCGACAGCCGGCGCGTTGTTTTTGGTTTTGCGTGACTGTAGGAAGCTTTTGCTTTATTTTTTTGGTTTTTTTTTTTTTTTAATTTATGCTAACTAACGTTGAGCTAACCTACAACAATAGTGGAGCAGTACGTTGACAACGACAACGACGACGCGACTGCAACTGAACAAAACCCTATTTGTAATTGCGGTAAGAAGACAACTTCTTACCAATGATTTCGTTGGTGCAAATGAAATTCCATGCGCTGCTTCTGCTGCTATCGAAGGTTTGGACATGCATTTGTTTCATGTTCAATCGACAAGTGCGATCTGTAAGTACTTCATCAAATATAGATAATAATATAATTATAACAAAATGATCTGTTTATAGCACACACGCACCAAACATTACCCAAATTAGAGCTTAACGTTTTTGTGGTCTTGTGTTTTCACACAGAAGCACCGATTAAATAACAAACGCCACCCACTGGTCAAGGCTGCGATAAGCAATACCAATGCTATACCCCTTTCTATCACACCCCCTGCCCCTAGACCCCTGCTGCTCATCCGTTCTTGACTATTTGCCTTTATCACACTGACATTTGCTCTATCGCTCAGCGATGCATTAGCATTAAATGCAGTTTCAGCGTCTTATCTCGATTACTGCTCTCTTTCTCTTTTGCCGCATCTCTCTTTATTTATAAATTGTGCTTTGACAGCATGACACTGCAGTAGGGGATTCACATGCCTTTAGTACTCGAATTTCGAAAGCTCCCATATTCACACTTTTCGTATTGTTACTTGTCCTTATAACTAATCACATTGTATTCCTTTTTATCAGCTGTGCAAAAAGAATTGTGAATATACAACATTTGAATGTATAAATTAACTCTCTTAGTTTATCCAGTATCAGCCGGTTAAATATGAACAATTCCCGCTGTCACCGGTATCCCGCCATCGCCTCAGCCTGGTGCAGCGAAAAACATTGGTGCTGGATCTGGACGAGACGCTGATACACTCACATCACAATGCTATGCCCAGGAATACGGTAAAGCCGGGCACGCCGCACGATTTCACCGTTAAAGTGACTATCGACAGGCATCCAGTGAGGTTCTTTGTACACAAGCGGCCGCATGTTGATTACTTTTTGGAAGTGGTGAGTCTTTTGCCGGTTACAACAACAACAACAATAACAACAGTCGACATCAGTGTGAAAGCTCAGATGTGTTTCTATGCGTCATTCTTAAACGTTGCTCCATACATATGACCACCATCATCACCGTACATCAGTCAACATACATGATGACATATCTGCATATGTTGTTTACCCGATAGTCAGGTTTCTTAAGTCCTCTTTGTGCGTCATTCTTAAACGTTGCGCCAGAAATAAACATACACACGAACCACAGTCTTAACCACATATCGTCGCAATATACAAGCTAGTTCTTTAACATAACTATAGAATGCTATAAACTTATATAACAATCAAATTTGATTTATGAGAAATCATTTTCAATGCGGTATATTATTTTGAACATCATTTTACAAATTGCAATGTTATAGGTGTAAAACAATATGATGATATAGTAATATTTCCTTGTCTACGATGTTGGGATATTGAAAGAGTTGCCTGACAAGAAAACACTTCAAAATTCTAGGTTATTTAGAAAAAAATTACAGATGAGATGATAAACTAGTAAAACCCGTTCGGTAACTGTTATATGTACATTTATATAATTATAGGTATCGCAGTGGTATGATCTGGTTGTTTTTACGGCCAGCATGGAAATCTACGGGGCTGCTGTGGCCGACAAACTGGACAATGGCCGCAATATACTGCGGCGTCGCTACTACAGACAACACTGCACGCCCGACTATGGCTCCTATACCAAAGATTTGTCAGCCATATGCAGTGATTTGAATAGGGTTAGCTATCAAATTGTCTATTTGGTAAAGAGATATCGTCTAATATGATTGCCACATTCGACTCTTGCAGATATTTATAATTGACAATTCACCAGGGGCATACCGTTGTTTTCCAAACAATGCAATACCCATTAAGAGTTGGTTCTCCGATCCAATGGATACGGCGCTGTTATCCCTGCTTCCCATGCTGGACGCGTTGCGATTCACTAACGATGTGCGTTCGGTATTATCACGAAATCTTCACCTGCATCGCCTTTGGTAGCGGGTGTGCCGCCACCAAGCGTAGCTTATGCACTAAACAAATGCGTTCGAAAGTTAAAAATAACAACTACAATTAACGTTTTACAACAACTTAAATAATAACAACAACAACAAAAACAACATGAATGGTGGTGCTGTGACACATAACGAATTTTTTTCAGTACGATTATACTAAATAATAGACGAGACATGATTGTAATAGAGGAATATTTCTACTTCACTTCAGAATTATGGCAAAGTTTTTAATTTAAAATAACCTTTCCTTTTTTTTTTTTGATCATTATTATTGTTTAATTGTTTTCATACGTGTACGTGTGCTAGAAAATTAAACAAATTTTTGCGTTATTTGTACGTTACAAAAGAGGCCAGTCTCTAACACACAGTATGTTAAAAGAAAAGTTACAACTAAACTAGAAAAGCAAGCAAATAAAATATCAATCTGGATATATGTGTATATATATATGTATATTTATATATATATATATATATATGCATACGCATATATCAATCTAAGCTAAGCAACCACAACACAAACACTTTATATGTATAATATATAAAAATTACATATATTTATGTTAGACATAGTTTGTTGTAATTATATTATAAAACTTATTATATATAAAAAATTGTTTTCTATATTTACAAAACTTACTGTATACTTTTACAATTAGTTTGAATGCAATTGACCTGGAAATCAGAGCGAAATGCATATTATATACATATAAACATACATACTTACATATATATATATATATACATATAATAAATAAACAACTTTTGTATAGGTTTTGTACAAATCAGGCGAATAACATTAAACCTCTATAGTTTTTGATTTGCTAACTTGTCAAAAAAGAAAAACAATAATGAAACGAAACGAAATTAAATTTAAATGAGTTAGGTATATATATATATATGTTATTAAAGAGAAGGATTATGTTAACTCTTAAGATATGCCTGCATGCAGGCCAAGGCATTGAAGGCGTACTACATTTGTATTTAAATTTAAATAAGACAATGATAACTATTAAAGTATAAACAAATCAAGAAACATGTATTTTTAGGGCATGACAGAAAAATGCAACGGTTGAGCCGTTGAGCCGCAAAAATACACGCCTTGGTTCAATAGATTCTTTAAAACACCGATACTATTTAAATAAAAAATGATAGGAGAAAAGGGTTCGCCAAATCACATAGTATACATTGCAACATGTAATTATGATATAATTAATGATAATATTGATGCAAGTTAACTGACAAATCGTAGCAAATTTTATCTTGAACATCAAAGTAAACTGTTCGCAGTACAATACTAATTGGCTGACTAATATTAAAAAAGAAATAAACAAATCGCTTCCATAGATATTTATTGATCGGCAAAACAACATCCCTAGCTTGCGCCAATTGAAATTTGTTTTATATCGCATTGTATTGTAAGTGTGCGAGAAATGATTGTTTATTTATTAAATATGTATGCGATGTTGTTAACTATAAGTAGTTTGTATCTTTAAACAAATTTGTTAAACAAAAAAAAATATAAAAACGCATATAAAATAAAAAGAAAAGGGAACATAAAACAAAATGACAAAGCAGAAATACAAATCATAAATTGTTTTACTTTTAAATCGCGCGTAGAATATTGCTCGATTTTTGGGTTTGATAGGACCTTATATACCTAATTCAATATATATAGCTTATTTGCCGTCAAATGCACATATTAATAAATCATTGTAAATGATATTATTTTTATGTTGCTTCAAAAATCCCTTTAATCTTTGAACTTTACTATTGTTTTTGTTTTTGGCTATAAATGTGGAGCGGAAAATAATCGAGATTAAATCGATAATTAATCGCCAAATGCAACTTTAAAGTGGGAATGTTTTTCTATGTCAATTTTGAGGTTAATTTTACAGTGAACAACACCGACAAGTGCGTTCGCTAATATTTTACACACTTGCACACATACATACATACAAACATAAATTTACGCAACGTTTGTGCCAAGCAGGTGAGACGGAATTTTGAATTAAAATTTTTAACTATTTTAGCAGAAACGTTTGACATTTACAGACGAGAAAGAGAGAAAGAGCGAGACGAAACAGAGAGAGCATCGAAAAATTGTTCGTACACATGGCAACCGCAGTGGCAAAAGTTGGAAAATCAGTTCACCGCATTTTTGTGGGCAATCTTCCTTGGACGGTGGGTCATCAAGAGTTGCGAGGCTATTTCAAAGAATTCGGGCGCGTAGTTAACGCCAACGTCATATTTGACAAGAAAACAGGCTGCTCCAAGGGCTACGGCTTTGTGAGCTTCAACAGTTTGCAAGCACTCGAAAAGATTGAAAACGAACAGAAGCACATATTGGAGGGCAATTATTTGAACATACATAAGTCATAAATGCAATACAAATTGTCAAACCAAATACACACATCCACACAGAGACATATACACACACATACATATATTCACTGAAAACGAGAGTAAAACAGTTTTTAGATTAGTTAATTAGTTCTTGCAGTTGCATTTAGTTAAGTATGTTTGATAGTGACTTGGAAATCGGCGATGATGAGGAGCAGCAGGAGATCGAAAAGCTGTTTTCAATGGCAACGGCGCACGTGATGCGCAAAGCGAACGTCTATCATGCCAGAGATTTGCTCGAGTTGTACGCACTATACAAACAGGCATCGGAGGGAGTCTGTGGCACGCCACGCCCCTCGGTTCTGCAGATGAAAGCGCGCAGCAAATGGAATGCGTGGCACGAGCTGGGCGACATGAGCTGCGCAGATGCCCAGCGTGCGTACGTTGAGAAGGTGCACAAACTGGACCCCAATTGGCTGGACGACATGTCGAGCGGCGGCAGCGGCAAGCTGAGCGGTTGGGTGGTGCACTCGATTGAATCAGTGCCCATTGAGGAGACCAACAGGCCGGAGCACCAGAAAACGTTATTCGATCACGTCAAGGAGAACAATTTGCAGCGTTTGCGTGAGCAACTGACTCCCGCTGATCTGGTGCAATTGGATGATCAGGGAATGGCATTGTTACACTGGGCAACCGACCGCAATGCCATTGGGATCATTGAGTATCTGGTCAAGTGCGGCGCCAATGTGGACCAGCGCGATGCTGAGCAACAGACACCATTGCATTATGCCGCCAGCTGTGGCCATGTGGAGGCATTGCGCTATTTGTTATCGTTGAATGCGGATCTGGATCTGCGCGACGCCGATGGTCAGACGTGCATTGATGTGGCCGATGATGAGCAGATTTGTGCCATGCTGCAAGCGGAGCTGCAGTTGCGCAAGACCACTGCAGATAATTAAAAAAAATATGCAAAAATTGTAAAAACATTCTGTTTTACTATATTTAAAATTATATTGTGTGAAATTAAATTATAATCAAAGTGGTTCAGTGTAACTTTACGAGGTTTTTACTTCCAAAGCTTCTTAATGGACATGTTCTTCTCAGAGTCCTTCTGCATAACCTTGGCTACTGCCATTTCGAAATCCTCCTGGGTAACATGCACACGACGCTCGCGCAGGGCATACATGCCAGCCTCGGTGCATACGCCTTTGACCTCGGCACCAGATGCACCCGGCATCAGTTCGGCAATCTTGCGCAGATTAATGCCGCGCGTTAGATTCATTTTGCGCGAGTGAATTTTCAGAATGTCCAAACGTGCCTCCTCATTCGGTGGCGGGAATTCAATCTTGCGATCAATGCGACCTGGACGAAGCAATGCAGGATCGAGTATATCAATACGATTCGTGGCCATGATGACTTTGATGTTCTTGGTGGCCTCAAAGCCATCCAGCTGATTGAGCAGCTCCAGCATGGTGCGCTGCACCTCAGAGTCGCCGCCAGAGCCGGATTCAATACGCGACGAGCCAATCGAGTCGATCTCATCCATGAATATAATTGATGGCGCATGCTCACGCGCCATCACAAACAGTTCGCGCACCATGCGTGAACCCTCGCCAATGAATTTCTGGACCAGCTCTGATCCAGAGACACGTATGAATGTACATTCGGTATGATGGGCCACAGCACGAGCCAGCAGTGTTTTACCAGTACCGGGTGGGCCATAGAGCAGTACACCTTTTGGCTGCGCAATGCCCAAGGCGTCAAACAATTCTGGATGCTTAACGGGCAGCTCGATAACTTCTTTGATTTCCTTGATTTGTTTATCTAAGCCTCCCACCATTTCGTATGTGGAATCTGGAACCTTCTCGACCATCATCAGCGAAACTAGAGGATCCACTTTGTTTGGCAATATCTTGTGCAGTGTATAGCTTTCGTTGCGCAGCGCAACACGGCAATTGGGTGTCACATCGTTAATATCAATGTTCTTGTCTAAGTCAACAACAAATTTGCCCTCTGGATGCACCTTAACAAGCACCTTCTTCTTGTCCATCGGCTTTACTACCTCACCGACATAGCTACCTTGTTCCTGCAACAGCTGCAGCTCCTCGCGTAGCATACGCACTATTGTAATAAATAAAACATTATGTGGGATTTTCCTTTGTGACGTTTCTTACCTTTGGCATTGAGTTCGTTACGCTGTGCCTGCAAGCGGCGAAGATTTTGACTCTTCTCGGCAACAATTAGCTGCAGTTCCTCAATTTTTTGTATGTAATATGAGCGGAAGCCCTCGCCTTTTTGGTAGGCTGCCTCCGTATCCACCTGAAATTTACTTTTTTTTTTATTGCTTGTTTTTAGCGAACTTGGTTATGCTCAATTACCCGATTTGTGAGTGTCATATTGCTCTTCCTTTTTCAATCGATTTTCTTCTTAATAAACGACTGCTGCTTGGATAATAATTTTACAAATCGTGTTAGATCTCAGTCGAACGCCTCCTAAGTTAACTTCTTTGATTATGACTCGGCAAGTCTACTATTTGATATATTTTGCGAGGATGCAGGGATGTTAATATTATATCGATTGGTCGATATAACGTCAAGTTAGCGGCGGTGTCTTAGCGTCGATTTTTGGTACTTGGTATCGGAGACGGAATCATTCACTTTTAAATGCATTTATTTATATTTTTAAGTACAAAACCAAATACATTTAAGTGCAGAATTGCAAAAAATTAAATTATTTACTGTCTACATTCTATCGATTTTGAATTTCAGCTTATAATATGGATAAACCAAGGGGTTGAAAAATTTGGTTTCCACCATTCTTTAAATATCTTAATTTAAGGATAATGGCCCGAAAACCCCAGAATCACGATTAAATCAAATAGTTTCACCAAACCAAACTTTAAAAATTTATAAAAATCGTTCAGTACCCTTTCAAGATATTTGTACAACAGTGAAGCAACCTCGTTGCTAGTCCCATACAAAATGACCGTTAAAAGTTAGCCTTTCACTTGAACCCTAATATCTTTTCTCAGGGATAATGACCCTCAGTGGACGCTATACCAATTTGAAGATATATGTTTTAGGAAGCGCACTAAGTCAAACAAATTGACCAGCCAATTTTTTAGAAAAACAATTAATTATAAATTATGTTGTTCATTCAAAAGGCTTGTCGAACTACTAGCTCCAGCTGCAACTGAACCACTGCTTGGAATCAGTGTTGAACAATTTCATACAGAACTGAGCGGGAACCAATTAATTCAAATTATTTGTATTAATGAAAGATTTGAAGACTTTAAAATAATTGGCAGATACATGTTGTTAAAAAATTGCCACCATTTTGTTATAATACTGTCTATAAATACTTAAATGCACTGTTGCCTTTTTTAACAGCATTATATACTAGCAAAGATAATGTTTTATTGTAAAGTCCCAATTATTTTGGTCTTAATTTCTTTCAAATACACAAATAATTTGAAATAATTTGTTCCCGCTCAATTCTGTATAAAACTGTTCAACACTGATTTCAAGCAGTAGTTCAGTTCCCGGCTTGTAGTTCGATAGGCCTTTTGAATGAACAACATGAGGTGTGCTTACATTTAATTATTTTTCTTAGAAACTGGTTGATCGGTTTGCTTAGAATTAACGCGCATGACTTACTTAAACATGTATCTTCAAATTGGTATAGCGTGCACTGATGGTCATTATGCCTGAGAAAAGACATTAGGGTTCAAGTGCAAGGCTAATTTTGTACGGTCATTTTGAATTGGGCTAGCAAAGAGGTTGCTGCGCTGTTGTACAAATATCTTAAAAACGTGCTAAACTATTTTTAAAATTTTTTCAAGAGTGAGATTATGAGGTTTTCGGGGCCATTATTCCAAAGTTAAGATACTTAAAGAGTGGTCAAAACCTAATATTTTAACCCTTTGGTTTACCCATATTATAAGCTGAAATTCAAAAACAAATTAATGTAGACAGTAAACAATTTCATTTTTTGCAATTCTGCATTAAAATTTAATTGGCTTTGTGCTGGAAAACATAAATAAATGCATTTAAAAGTGAGTGATTCCGTCTCCGATACCAAGTACCAAAAATCGACGCTAAGTCACCGCCGCTAATTTGACGTCGTCGTCCAGGGAGATTATAGGAAATCGATATCAATGGTAGTTTTAGTTATTATCGAAATGTCGATTAATAGTCGGTGGAACCGCAGGTTTACATTGGCGTAACATAGCATTTGATATCGTGTTGCGCGTTTCGTAGCTGATTCGTTGTTATTACCAATTTTTTTGTTTTTGTTTACAGTGCCGTTAAAAACGGAGCAAGCAGGCAGGAAACAGTGACGCGCAAGCCCAATTAATAAATCAAAAGTAAATTGTTTTTTTTTCTCGTGGGTGCCAAACAATAAACTGTCTTGCAGAAGGACGAAATAATAGCCCCCTCTAAGACTCATTCTCAACCGCCCCCGCTCATGACGCGTCTAACATCATTCGCTGTTTTGTTTGTACTGTTGCGCGCTGGCTGCTCCAGGCGACTTTGAATTTGTGTGTGTGCGAATTACAAAATTAAATAATTCAATAACTACAGCCATACAAACATACATGTATATTTCTGAGTTAAGAAATCACAATTCTTTAAAATACAAATATCACATGTGCGCGTAAAATATATAGCCTTGTGCATGCTTATGTATCTAAGTATGTGTGTGGGTGTTGTTATCCAGAGCAGCTGCCCTTTGTGTGGGTTGGGAGTATTAAGCTGTGTTACAGTAACTGCGTTTTAGTTTCTTCCAACGGGAGGCGTGTTTCAGCGTGTAATTTTCTATTCTTTTTAGTTTATTTTGCAATCTTTTCCTTTGGGTGAAGGGACTAGCGAAAAGAGAGGGACACACACGAGTGTCAAGTCACTTGACTGGCCGTTTGCTTTATTTGCGTTGCTTAATTATGTATATATATATAATTATTGTACGTACAAGAACAATTTAGAGTAAAAGAATGGCACACCACATACATATATGTACGCACAAATATACATATACATTTATATATATATATATATGTATATATGTACAAATATATATACATACATTGATATGTATGTATATATGTACATATATTCTGCGACGCAATTGAAGACATCGAAGGCCAAACAACTTTGCCGTTTTTGTTTTCGCCTTCTTTTTACGCTTTTCTGTTAGTAGATTTTGTTTTTGTTATCACAACTTCACTCACAATTCTCACACTATTTGTTGTTGATTGCCAACGCGTGCGCTCATTCTCAATGCCAAACCGCCAACGCAGTCCCACTCAAAGAGAGCTGCGCTCAAACGCGCTAACTGTAAAGTGAACAGTGCGAAATTTTTAAGTGCAATTATTTTGAGGATTTCTGCAAGGAACGTATGTATGTACATACATACATACATACGTATTGACTGGCAGCCGCAACGCAGTTTTAGTTTCTTTGTTCTTGTTTTTATACCCTGTTTTCAAAGAGAACAAGAGTATATTGTGAATTTCCCACTTTAGATTAAAAAAAAATTATCGTGCCAGCAAAAGGCAAATTCCTGTATTTTGTAATAGTTTGAGAGTTTTAGTCTTAGTCACTAACTGCACCGTTCGTTTTCTTTATATTTGTTAATCTCCTTGAAAGTTTATGTCAAAAATAAAACAAATTTGCATTAGCTGGCACGACATTGCTAACAGAGTATTGCGCAGTCGGTTGACACCAACTGTAGCGTTTCTGTCCATGGCGCTGAGTCGCTGACGAACATTGAAAGCATCTGCCAGTGCCCTATATTATAAACATCGCTTTTTGTCCCAAATCCAACGTACAACAACAATAACAACAAGAAGGCGCAATTAATTATTTTCGGACTGCCGAAGATTAAATACTCTTGAAGTAGAAATGTACAGACACATTTTATGAAAAATTTATAAAACGCTCTGTCAGAGTATTATAATAATTATAATAATAATGTGAACAACAACAAAATTGTTTTTCCTTTTTGGACATTTCGTTTGCATTTATTTTTGGTAAATTGCCATATTTTTGTTGTTTGTTTTCATGCAGCAATATTTCATTTCTACGCAGCAGCAGCGGCAGCGGCCGGAAAAACAAGTTGGCTCAGTGCCCCGTTGCCATATTGACATATTCTCGTTGCGCATTCAGTGGTAAAGTGCAGGTGCGCAGTTTGTAACGGCACCCATGCGCGAACAGCTGATCGATAAAAATCGATTGAAACTAACCTAACCTAACGGCAATTCAGTTTAAAATAAAAATAAAACCGTATCACTATCAGCTGCATCAGTATAAACAAAAAAAATAAATAAAAAACACAAATTGCAGCAGGCTGCGATATTAACAATATTTATATATAATATATATATATATATATAAAAACGTTACAAAAATATGTTTCAAATTCCACGACCATCGCGGGTAACGCTGCAAGGCGCTGCCATAGCGCTCGGCATGGTGATGTTAATGTCCTGGTAAGTACTAACGCGTACACCTGTAGCCACCTTACGTTATACAGTGAATGCTTGCTAGAGCGTACACCAAGGGCTAAACTCATACAGTGTTGCCAGTTCAGCTATTTTCTAGCTAAATTAAGCTGATTTCAGATGTCATAGCCCGGAAAAAATTGGTATTGAAACTGATTTATCCCAATAACGGGTACTTGCAACCCTGTTTAGAGCTAATTGAGATCCTTTTAGCTATTTTAAATTTTTTGAATCGGCAACTAATGAAGGCCCTTTTCATCGGTTTTGGGAAGAAATGAGTGCAAACCTGACAGTTATAATTTTGAGCAAAGCACGTCGCCCGGGTTAAGCCAATAAATAATTGCTAGTATGTACATATTGCAAGCTACCGCACGCATTCAGTTAATTATTTAAACTTTTAAGTGCACTCACGCCTTTCAATTTAGGTCACAAACCAAAAGCATTTGCATTCACATGCCTCGCGCATTCTCATTCCAAAAGGAAGCGAAACTAAAATAAATTCTATAGCCGGCGACAACGACGCAGCATTTTAAAGCGAAAGCATGACAGGAAGAGCGAGAAAGAGAGAACGAGGGAAATAGAGAGGGAGGGAGAGAGAGAGACTGGCTAAATGTCGCGTGGCCAGTGCTTATACCCTTACACAGAGTATTTTCATTTTGTCACGACATTTTTAACTAGATATGGGCGTGGTCGAACAAATACAAATTAAAGGCACATATGTGTGTATCTAGTATAGAACAATCGACCGTTAGCTGAGAATTGGAACAGGCAATCAATTATTAAGCTCTTATACATATCTAAATCTTATTATTCAACGAAATTAAAATTGAAAATATTTGATAAAAAATAATCAATATTTTTCTAGTATATAATATATATGTACATATATATATGATTGATTGAAAAACATCATGAATTTATACATATATCTGTTAGGGTATCTAAACGTCGACATTTCTTAAATAACTTCTTTGTATTTGAAAGTTGTAATGTTTTATTTTGGGCATAGATATATGTATGTATATGTATATACGCCTGCATATGTACATATATGTACGTGCTTACACCTTCGGTTTGGCTGGCTGCTGGCCCGGCTGGCCCCACAACCCCCACCCTACCGCTTGCCCTGCCTTTCTTCACCATGGCGCGTAAATGCAACTGTATTAGTATGTGGTTGACGGTCAGCTACGTTGTTTTTGCGCTGGCTTTTTATGTATGTACACATGTACATACGTACGTGTGCATATCTATATATTACACACACACATGCCTTACTGTGTGTGCGTCTGTGTCTTTGTGTGGCGCAATTAACCAAAGAAAAATGCAGCAGAAATGATTCCGCACGCAGCCTCAGGCAGAGCTTGCCAGTTAATACATATTCACACGTATATACATATATATGTATATATATGTTATATATATAGTACATTCGTACATACATATGTATGGACCTAGTCATGCACACGTTTGTACATGTATGTATAAAATTGTGTCTAACGAGTAGAATGAGTGCGAGAATTGCACTTGTTGTATTAATTTGTTGTATTACATTGTTTATCATCCGATTATCAGTGAAAAAACAGCAACAGTTGCAGTTTTTTTTTTGTAGCTAAAGGTTGTTTGACAGGCAACGGACGCCAACAAATGCCAATAACAATAACAACAGCAACTAATTCGAAAACAAATACCGTTATCCGACACAGATGTCAATCACAATCTCGATAGCTTTGCCCGCAGAGAATAATCGATAGCAGCTATAAATAAACGCCAAGTGATATTTGCTTTACACACAGCGATCGGCTTTGTCCGTCCATGACAAAATCGGAAGAAAAAAAAGAAGCTATATCTGTCACAGTTTTAGAGCTAGTGTGACCAAAATTGGAACGAAGACGACCGATGAGCTCCTTTGAGGATGGTTCTAAAAATATTTTTGACTCTGCCGACTGGTTGATTTTTCAGGTTGTACCAGACACCAAATTCTCACTTGTTATATGTCTATTTTTGCCTATAAAAAGTGTCGAATGACTAAATTAATCATAATAATAATAAGAATAATCTCTTACTAATTATATATATTTATAGGTAGTGCTGATGCGTGGTGTTAGGGCTAGCATGTCTGAATAAAATTAGGCGAAAACAGATCTATTCGACTTAGTCACATGTTCCTTTAAATAACAAATACCTTTTTTGGTGGAATATTTCAATGGGGGCTATATGGTATAGTATTCCCCCCGTTGACAAAAAGCACATTAACTCTCAAACATAATATACATATAAGAAAATTTGTTCGTATATAAGAGGTCAAGCATTTCTCTTACCGGGAGCTTAAATATATAGTATTTCAATGCTTATAACTCTGCTCAAAAATGAACACAACAATTTACACAAATTTGTTGAGCTAGGCAAATAATAATACCTTGAACAATATAAAAACTTGTTGACACGAAAGCTTTACTTCCGATCGATCAAAAATCAGCCCATTAATAAACTGATCCGATCCGGCGGGACGTTTCAAGTAAAAGTGCATTAGTTCAATGCAATCAAAATTGATTAGCAAAGTTCATATACAAAGGTGGCTTTCACTGGCTGCCCAGAGATACCCACAAATGCACAGTGCACGTCTATATAGCCATATATATACTATATATAGATACATAGTATAGATCTACCGAAATGTAGAATCTATACCAATTCCTACGCCTGGAATTTGGAATGTAAGTCCTCTTATTGCAGGCGCAGATAAAAGGATTTATTTTATATATATTTAGAAATCAATAAATCGAGTTTACAAGGGGACTAGAATAGCATGGGACATCTTTCAGCACACAAGGGTGCTGCCCAATGGGAAGAGTATTCGATTTGGCAATGTCAGCTGTTTCGTCCGATTGCCACTTGCCCTCTGGCAACAACTTTGTAAGCAGAATCGAGCGGGAAGTAAACAAAAAATAGCTGTGCAAGGCAAACAATGAGATAATGATAGACAGTTTTGTTTTTGATAAAGAAATGCGGCTATTTCTGGCACGCCAACGATTAAATACCCTTGCAGACATTTGCTTTAGAAGGGTTCTTGTGCTAACTCTTCTTTGCCGATCGATTGTTCCTATAGGAGCCAAATGGTTTTGTTGTTCGACTTGACAGAGACAGAAAGACCGAATCGGACTCCTATGACAACATTTGAATACCCTCTGCTAGGGTATATCAAGTAACGTGTGCTGCACACATACATATAAAAAAGCATATACCTATTATCGTAAATAGCCTCTAGAATATGTAAGCTTTGAAATATGGAAGTGACTAAGTCGTGCGACTACGCCTTTTGTTATTGCCATTTTAGATAGAACGCACATTGAGAAAATGACTACTTTCGCTGTTTGTCCCACATTTAACAATCTAATCTATATGTATATATATATATGTATATATGTATGTATATGTAAACGCGTACATATGGTATAATTTGACGTACATAGGTATAATTGGACGATTTAGAGATTTATTGCCACGTATTCTGCTTACGTAGCTCATTTATTTATCTGTCTTTCAATTTAAGATGCTATTGTTATAAACATATTTGTGTACATGTTTATACAATAAATACCCCTTGCGTGCTAACTTGCTACAGGGTATGCCCAATAACCGCACGTTTCCGTATTTAGGTAAGATTAGAGGTTCTTTAATTTTGGAAAAAAACGTTGTTCAAAAGTGAGTTCAACTTGCATTTTTTATGCCATTTTACAATGCTATTAGCAAATTTTGTGAATCTTATTCATATAATTCATGTGATCTATATCGACATATATATATATTTATCGATTGACAATTAATTCCACTAAAAGAGCGGGAGCTATCGATATTTTAAAATAAACTTAATTTTAACTTTAATTAACAATATCAAAGTATATTTGGCACTAGCGGGTATCTTCGTGCAACTAATCAGTCAGGACAAACAGTTTCCGGTTTTGTGGCCGTTTTTCAGGGTGACTTTAGGTATGTGACCTTTCAAATCTTAAACGATTTTGTTGAACTCAACGTTTATGAAATAGCTTACCGCTTTGTAGATATGTGAGGGGAATAGTGAAGCTCGTTATTGCGGAGTTTGGTAAAAATATCTGGGAAAACAGACAATTTGGCCAAACAAAAACTCATTTGTCGCGCAATTCTTCCCGAAAAGTTATACAATATAGTAGTAATGCGATCTTTGAAAGATTTGGCTGAAACATAAGAAGATAACCGATAAGTTTTTCATACAAGAAATTAAATTTTGATCGATCGTTCCTACGCCATCTATATGATATTGTGGCCCGAACCGGTTAGCTCCGGCTTACAGAAAAAAAGAATCTATGCAAAGTTGTATACCAATAGCTTTAAGACTGAAAGATCAGATTAGAGAGACGGACGGAGGGACGGAGGGACATGGATTGATTGTAATCATGAATATATATACTTTATGGGAATGCAAATGCATCACAACTCTATGGGTTGCAAATTTCAGACAAAATTATATTCTTCAAAAAAGTAAGTTTGCAGCCTTAATGCAGGAAAAAGGCAACATTTGTTGCAAAGTCTTATTAATAAATCCGTTTAAATCTTCAACAAGTTAAATACAAATATTAATTAAGCAAAAACTTGAATTCCGATTGACTTATAATAATTCAAGCCAGTTTTTGTTGATTGTTTCCGCGGAGAGCGAGTGTGAGAGAGAGGGAGAGAGAGAGAGAGGGTCTTTGCATAACACGTAGATCAGTCAGTCATATTTCCAGCTAAGGGAACTACACAGAACAACAAGAAGAAGATGAAGAAGAAGCACAGAAACAAACATGGATCAGCTGAGTTCGCTACACGTAAACGAAACCAAATGCAAAACCCGGTTTGATAGTCTGTGAAAGATTATACGAAAAGATGATGATGCTATAGGCATCAGCAGCTGTGAGTGCTTCCTGTTAGAACATGTTTTTCGACCAGCTAACTAAAATGTATATGGTTTAGAGTTAGCTATGCGGACTTTTGGTAATTGATGAGATGACTTAAGGCAAGTTAGCAAGTCGCATTAATGCTGGGCCCGTCGCCAGCAACAGTTCATTTAGCTTGAGTTTGTTGCACTGTGCGCTAATTGCTTCCTGATTTCGCAACGATCCTCTCCATATTTTGTATTTTTTTTTTACAGTGTACGTCCTTTGGGTGTGCTGTTCCTGGGCCTATTCAGTTACTGGCTGTATTGGACACGGTGCAGTTTTCGTGTTGTTCTCACACCGCAGCTGCGCGAAAAGCTCGAGTCTTGGTTGCATCGCATCGAGGATTGGCGTCGCAATTCACCCAGCATGTTCTGTTTGGTAAGCAGCGGCAGCCTGGCCACTCTTGCCGTGTTGGGCCATCTGATATCGGGCTCCACTCTGGTGCTGACCCTATTGGTACTCTCTGCACTCGTATCCACCAAATACAATTTCAAGCTGCTGCAAATCGAACACAAAGGTAAAGGGATTACAATTTATTTTATTGCTTTTGTAACTAAAATGTTGTGCATTGCAGATTTTAAATGGTCGGAGAAGATCAACTATAACAATGCCGAAGCCGAGCTAGATGATGAGTTTATGCCGGATGTAAACGAATCGAATCTATTTGTGTTGGAACGCGCCAGCGATGTGGCCACCATCAGCTCACCCACCGACGCCGATGGCGTTGGCGATGGGGATGATGATGAGTGCAGCGACGATATACCCTCCGAGCTGCTTATACCCGATTCCATACCCGAAATCGATGAGCATTCAACAGACGAGGACGATGAGTTGGTACCTCTGTCGCAGCCCAAGCAAAGTGCGGAATCAAACGCTGCTCCACAACAACAATACGAGCAGAGCCGGCCAGCCGAGGGCGAACAGTCAACTGCGGACAAGACAATGGACTTTCGTAGAGGGCACTTTAAGCGCGACTCCTCGTTGTCCACCACCTCATCATCATCAGAGGAAAGCCTATCCAAGGGCCTGCAATTTCCCGACCACACCAGCGTCGATGCTGGCGGCCCCAACACGCTGCGACAGCTTACTGAAGCGCCCAGCGATCCCGCTGCCAGCAACAGCTCTCTAATGGCGCTGGCTGTTAAAACGCAAGCGCAGGCACTCCTGCCCAGTCTCATGACCAATCTGGTTAAATGGGGCGCCAACCAGGTGGACAGCACCGATAATGCGGCGGCGCTGGCCAAATATCAGCGACGCCAAGTGACCTCCCTTGACTCATCCGATGAGAGCGACTTTGAGATACTCGAAACGGATGACTTTAAGTAAACTATTGTAACGGCAGCATATTACCAACTAATATCTTAAATATATATACATAACATATATATGCATACGCGTGTAGAAATTACAGCTGCACAGATGCTTATAAAACAAATTGGGTATCAGAACTTTTGATTCTGGCAATAGGTTTTTGCATGCCATATGAAAACGCGATGCAGAGAGTTTATAATTTGCGGCTTTATACACAGAAAATGTATGTATTGTAACTCCTACTATATATTGATGATCTGCATATATACCATTTTATATAGGTTTGTAATGTTCGCTTTATGACATCCACTTTAAGTTCTGTTCAGTTTGTTGTGCTTGTATACATTGTATTTTTATTTTAAATTATAGTCTTATTCTCTATTTTTTTTTATTATCATAATTGTGTTTTGGAGCAGCGGTTAAGTTACTAAAGACGCAAATTAAAATTGATTTGAGTTTCGTTTATGATTTCTATTAGAAGTATGCAAAAATGTAAATAGTATATCAATATTCATATAAATTTATACGGATACTCATGCAAATGTTGAGCTACTTAATCTGTACCCACGGCGTTAAAAAAAGAAACACAAACAAAACAAAACAAAACAAAGGAAAATCGGGCAAACATACATACTTACTCCTCTATAAATTTGATGCGGTGCTATAAACCATATTTAAACATAAACAAAAGGAAAATCGCTTCAAAGAAATTTGACGAAATTGTGCATAAAAGAATTGCTCTTTAGCGATTAATGCTATTTACTGATTATCGCGAAATAAAATCGATTTATTTAAAAATTTTTTGTGACCGTTAGCAGCCTGTCTTTATTCTAATAAAGGATATTCATTAGTTTCTGAATATATTACACGAATCAAAACTGATTTAATGCAGCATTTCAAATCAAACTAAATTGATTATTTAATATGGCATGAATTTGAAATATAACCAGGGCTGACTGACAAATTTCTGTTAAAGTGTGGCAACTCTTGAAACTTTTTCCAGGTGGCAAGATTAACACAACTGATTGCCAAATTAAAACGGTACATGGGCTGCAAAAAAAAAATGTTGCCAGACATGACACTGCATAAACATATCAGGTTTAAAAAACCAAATCGGATTTAGGCTCTTTTCTTCTTCTAATGCTTTTAGCTCATATTATATCTTTTATGGGGAGTCATTGCGCCTTGCTTGTTTTGGACTCAGTGGCAATCCATTCAAAGACACGTTTTGTAAATATTTTAAAAATTTCGTTTTGCTTTATACAGGTTTTTTGCGTATTGGATTGAAATTTCACAAAAATAATTCTAAAAATATGTTGTATATAAAAAATGTTTTAACAAATAACATTAAAAAAAAAAAACAATTCATATACTTATTATAGGAATTTTGATCTGTTTTGCATGCGCAACATGCGAGTTGCGGATGAACAGCACAAAATTTGACCTTGCCTACCGAGATCTATAAATCCATCTTGAACAAATGTTTCAGATTGACTCCGAAACGCAAAGTAAAATGGTACAACAACTCCACCATGCTAAGTATTGAGAAGCCCATAAAAAGACCAAAGATACCGCCGCAGTTGGCCAAAAAATCAGTCACGCCATACATCTCGGATCGTTTTGAGGTGATAAACTGGCTCTGCTTAAAGTAAATTGAGAGCCTGGACATCTGAGAGCCGGGATAGTCGCGCATAAACTCCGTGTCGCCTTCGGCGGCCAGCATTTCCTCCAAATCAAAGTTGGCCTGTGAGATTTCCGTGTTGTATACCAGCGATGTGCAAGCGGGCATGCAATTGCATGCAGTTTCCACGCCCCTCGGCGCCTCGCCGACAACATTAAGGCTGCGAACGCGATGAAATTCGCGCACAAGCAGTTCGCGCTCGGCCAGATTATAGCAATAGATTTTATCCTCTCCGCAGACCGGCATATCGAGGCTGCGTGGCATCGAGAACTTGACACAGCCACATTTGGTCAGCGTAAAGTTGGCCAGGCACTCCAGCTGGCAATTGGACTCGGAGTATACCTTGAAGAAGCGCAACGATCGCTCGTGGCTAAGGAAGCACTGTCGCCGCTGTGGATGATATTCAGCGATGCCGACGGATGTGGTTATCATACTGGGTTTAACGGCAATAAGCACCTCCCTGCCCATGGGTATGCGCACAAACTGCTTGGACACCTGCGGCACATCGTCCGGTGCATGGAGCAGCACCTTGAAACCCTGCACAGGTCCACGGCAGGCGTAGTCGACTTCTTGCTTGAAACTTTGCAGCGTCATAAATATACCCGAACGGGCACCGGCGCTGAGCACCCGAGCTGGATATGTTTCAACATCGCTGGCCGGATCATAGCCCGTCTCCAGGCTCCAGGTCGATTGTGTGACATTTTCCACTTCGCTGTGATTATACTGATACGTGTCCTCACGATAAATATCGGTCGGCCGCATTCCATTGAACGTATAACAGATGCCCTCCTCTGTCAGCGTTATGCGAAAGTATTTGTCGCACTCGTTGAACCGACTTAGCCAGCGGCAATAGAAGAAATACCGTTCGAAGGGCGGCAGCATGCGCTCCAGCACCGCAAAATAGTCTAGATCCTCTCCAGGTATTAGGGGCATATCACGATCGATGATGTGCGTATTGCAGACATGGAGCAGCGTGCGGAACTCCTCCATTTCAATGGAGGTAATATTTTGTGGCTTGAAAATGCGCGTCGCTCGCATATCATGCGAGAACTGGTTGTAGAGATTCGCAAAGGAATTGTTGCTTTTCGCTTTTACCACACGCTTTGTTTCCGAGCATATGGTGACCGCCGGAAAGGGTATATTCCATACGGGCGTTGATCTTTCCGCAAAGCTAACAATCACCGGAGTCTCATTCCACTTGGTGTAGGCGCTGTTGATCAGCGTGGCGCAGCAGTAAATGGACACCACAAACACAGAAAGCCAAAAGACGCGCTCCTTAATCGGCCGCTTCTCCTCGCCCAGATACTGCACCCCGTGTATGGAGGAGTTCTGGCAGTATTCATGGTACGTATTTACGAAGCATTTGCATAGGGTTTTTCCGACCGCCGGCTGGCGCGTTTTTTTCGATGTCAGATCGATGCCGTCGTTGTTGCTCTCCATGTCTGAATCGGGCACAGACATACTGCCATCCATTTCGTACCTCTTGGCGCGCACAAACATGGTTTAAACAAGACTACAGGAATCATTAGCTTTTGTACAGGTAGGCAAATTCACGCAATTTAGCACTAAACGATGATCAAATGTTTGTTTTTTTTTTTTACCGTAATTTTGGCTTTGTAACAAGTACATATGCTGATCGTGTCACGAACATGACCTAGAAATATGAATATGTAGTGTATTAATAGCTTATACATTGATTTATTGTTTCATAATTGAATATATTATAATATTTAATTATTTTGAATCAAGTAAAAGCTTGGCGCGCTGATTGGGAATTTATTTCTTAACTTCAGTATTGCCTTAATATATAACTAAGAAGACCTCTTCAACATCCTTTTTTAACTAACGCTCAGAGCTGTTCATATCCATTTTACGATCTCGTTAAATCAACATAAGATATTAGTAGCGGTTTCCATTCAATATATTTCGTGCTGCATTCGGTTTCCTTATGTGCCAGCGGCAAAAATTCAAAAAATCCCTTCGGAATTATTTAGTATATTATAGCGTTGGCACATGCAGCTAAAATACCAAAACATGCTGGGCACACTTGTTTGCTGCTGGTCATACTTTTGTTTACGTTTTGTTTTCATTTGTCTATTACAGTGTTGTTACAAATAGGGCAATGTTGTTGTACACTGCGTACAGTGGTGGTTAAAGATGAAGGTCCAATAAACAGCTGTTTGGTAACATTCAAAATTATCGATAGCAAGAACAGAACGACGCAGCAGCAGCACCAGCGCCAGCACCATCAGCAGGCAGAAGCGCAGCCAGTGACAGTAGCAGCCAATATTATGCGAAACAAGAAATCTATAAAAAAGTAGAGCAGCAGCAGCAGCAGTTGGGGTGGGGTAACGCTGGAGCAGCAGCATGGAACCTCCAGCGCACGTTACCGCAGCGGGCATCGTAACTGTTGTTGAGAGCGCAGCGGATGCTGAGCAAGACAGCCAAGTGACAACAACGCATAAGAATGACGAGGAAGCGGATAATGATGATGACGATGATGATGATGATGGTGACAACGATGACGATGACGATGGTGAGGATGTTGATGATGATGACGATGGGGATGATGATGATGCCAAGGATGCTTACTTCGAGGCGCGCAATGGCAATGAAAGCGATGAGCTCGAAACGGCATTCCAAAGTGCGTTGACATTGGCTAGTGACGTCAGAGTGAATGTTAGCGATGCAGATGCCGAGCAAGATGAGAGCAATAGCGGTCACACAGAGCAGCAGCCGGATATTGGGCAGGTGCAGCAGCCAGAACTGGATGACAACAACGATATTGTGATGCGCAACCACAGTAAGTGACTCACTCGCTTTTCTCATTTTATTGGATCCACTAATTTGAGCAATCTTCTATCAGCTCCAAGAGACTTGCAATATGAGACAAACAACGAAAATAGCCAGCTGGGAGCCGCGCCAGCCTCAGCTTCTGCCAGCGATTCGTCACGACCACGAAATCAGCATCAGGCACTGCTTACGACCAAGTCCTGCGAGATGCCCGGCAGCGCGGCATTGGCATCGGCATCGGCAGCGACTCTATCGCCCAGTAGCTCGTGCAACGGCAGCATTGGCAGCGATGGCAGCTGTAGTGTTGGTGGCGGTGCCCGTCGCAAGTCCTGGTCGCTGTCGCCACAAAACGGTGGCTCCAAGAAGAAAAGCAAACCAAGTGCTGCAGTCACGACGACGACGACGGCATCCAATGGCGATAGCTTTAATTTGTGGGTGGCGCGCGAATGCTTTGAAACGGTACCCGCTGAAATGGTAGACACGCTGAGCGTTTCCGAACTCCAGGAGCAACAGGATGAGGAGCAGCACCAACAGGAGGAGGATGACGATGTGGACGAAGAGGCGGCTGCCGTCGAGAGTCTGCTGGGCGCTGCAGCGGCTCTGCAGGCCAGTGCCTATTTAAGCGGCGGTGCGCAGAGTCGACAAAAGCATTTGCGACAGCCTCCACAGCATCGTCCGCTAGAGCGGTCGTGGCCGCCACGCGCCATTGGAGGACGCGAGCTAAAGCTGCAGGGTGATGTCTTCAAATTTGATATACTCGATACGGATGAGCGCATGTACCCGGAGGATGGGCCAAGCTACAGCGGTGCCAGCAGTAATAACAGCTCGCCGCTGCGCCTGCTCGGCCAGCCGGAGGCCAGTCCACCGCCCATGCGCTTTAAGCCGCTCATCCAGAAAAAGATTGGACCCGACAGCTACATCAATACGATCAGCACCCAGAAGGTGCCCGCCCATTTATCGTATGAGTTTCCCACGTTTCCCCTCCAGGAGCAGCACAACAGCATGGCCAGCACCAGCTCTGGCGCCAGCTGCAGTGCTGCTGTTGCCGCCTCCAATGGCCTTGGGGGCCATCACTTTCCCTATTTGCGACAGCATCGACCCTTGACACGTGCCCTGTCCAATGGCAAGGCCGCCGGCACTGGAACGGCCACGGATGAGCCTTATCATCTGGCCAGCAGCAGCAATTCGCCACGGCTGCTGCTGTCGCCCAAGCGTCAGCGCAGTCCGCCCTCGGGCTGTTCCACGCGCAGCGTCTCTCCGCTGGATCTCAGCCTCAGTCCCGAGCAACACTCGCCCACGCGTGGACGCGGCGTCGGTGGCCTGGAGACAATTTTACCGCTGCCCATGGCGCCGCCGCCAATCGGTGCGCCCACTTTTCATGCACAGCGACCACAGCAGCGACTGTTGAAACGAGTGGGCGGCGGCGGAGGAGCTGCAGCTGCTGGCGGACTCATCTGTCCGCCCACGCCCACACATCATGCGCGCCGGCATGCGCGTCTGCAGGCCGTCACTGCCAACTCCAGCACTGCCGGCACAGTCGAGCCGAACTCTAGTCAATTGGATTACAACCAACTGCAGACGCCGCCTGGCTCGCCAGCCGGCGCCGGTGCGCAGTCAGCGGATGCAGATGCGGATGCGGATGCGGATGACAACAATGATATGTTGCACATAAGCAGCACTCGTCTGCCCTCCATTCCGGAACGCAGTGCAGCAGCAGCAGCGGCGGCAGCGGCAGCAGCGGCTGCAGCTGCCGCAAGCTCTGACGCGGGCGCTGGCATCATGGAAAGCGGTAGCGGTGCCGGAAGTTTCAATGGCACGGAGCCGCCTTTGCCGCCCGCATGGGAGGCACGCATGGACAGTCATGGGCGTATATTCTATATTGATCACACAACCCGGACCACTTCGTGGCAGCGTCCCGGTCCCAGCACGGGTCCCGGCGGTCGCGAGCAGCATCATCGCCAGCAGCTGGACAGACGCTATCAGTCCATACGGCGCACCATCACCAACGAGAATCGCCTGTCGCTGCACGCTGCCGACCCGTCCACTGGCCATACCCATGGCCATACCCATGGTCACAATCAGCTGTATGGTCTTCCTCGTGGCGGTGGTCAGACAACCACAACGGCGTCATCCACTACTGTTGCCGCTGGCGCTGTTGGGTCTGGGTCTGGGGCTGGCGCTGGAGCTGGGGCTGGGGCAGCTGTGCCGCCCGCCTCGCCAAATCTGGCCATACATCCGGCGGTGCTGATGCTTTGCCGTCCCGACTTTTACTCTCTGCTCCACACCAATGAGGCGGCGCTGGCCATTTACAATCGCAACGCGGCACTTAAGCATATGGTTATGCGGATTCGTCGCGATCCGCAGTGCTTCCAGCGCTATCAGTACAACAAGGATCTGGTGGCGCTTGTCAACACATTTGCCCAGCTGAGCCGCGAGCTGCCCTCCTGTTGGGAGACCAAAGTGGATCAGTCGGGCAAGCAGTTCTTCATCGACCACCAGCATCGCAAGACGTCCTTCATGGATCCTCGCCTGCCGGTCGAATGTCCACGCGTTGTTCGTCATCGCCAGCAGCACCACCACCACCAATATTTGCACCAGCCGCATCCGGATCTGGTTGATGGCAATTGCCTTTCGGCCACCAGCGGCCACATCAACTCCAGCAGCTCCAGTTCCGGCGCAACGGTCTCAGGCGTCCCGCCGCTGCCACCACCCCGACCATGCCGGGGCAGTCTCAATCAAGCAGCCGCCAACGCCGCCGCCGCCGCTGCATCCACACATAACTGCACTACGGCGGCGGCCATTGCCTGCGCGCTGAGCCTCAGCGGCGCCGTCGGCGGACCCAGCACCAGCGGGGCCACTGCATCTGGCCCAGAGGATGTGCCGATAGCTTACAATGAAAAGGTGAGTACGCGAAACATAGTCAAAACTGATTATCCCTACAGATACACACATGTTTACATATACATATACATACATATATCTACCCTAAGTCAACAAGTATGTGGAATTGTGTGGAATTATGCATCCAAAATTTCATAAGCCTTGGCTCGGGTTTCGGCTGTTCCCCCATCTCAATGGATTAATATTCTCTCCCAAGCAAAAAATAACCTTGTCTTTACTTAGAACTAACGAATTTCGATTCTCTGTTAATCTTTTACTTGTCAGACTTAATTGTAACCCATTTATTTTCCTGGTTTTCATGGCAGGTTATTGCATTTCTGCGACAACCCAACATATTGGAGATTCTACGTGAACGGCAGGGCCAGCACACAGTGTCCCGATCGCTGCGCGAAAAGATTAACATTCTGAGAGTTGAGGGCGTGCCCGCCTTGGAGCGTCTGGGCCATGATCTACAATTGACTATAGTGCTTAGGTAAGTGCTTAACATAATATATTCGGCAAGGATCGGATGATGACCAGGCTTGAAGTTGGCAAAGAGCCAAAACCGTATTGGTGTTGAGGGTTACTTGAGCTCCATCAGATCGAGATGAAATTGTGGGGATAATCGTCTGGATACCCTTTATATGTATATTCGAAATCTAGTGTTCTGGCCAAAAGAAGAAATAGGTTTTTGGCCAAGCAAGTCCTTTGCCGCTTGCTGCGCTGTTTACGGGGATGTATTCCTGAAGAGCGTCGGTGCTTATAGTCCGAACATTATGGGTAGCATTTTTGATCCCATAATGTTTATATTCTTAAACCGGACAAGGTGCTTAGTCTATCCATCCTTCCGTTCGTCTGTGTGCAGGCGTCTATCTCGGAAACTACGAAGGCTACAGACTTGAAACTTATTTTTTATTGTCGATATCTTCACACATTACCAATATTACCGATTTTGAGAAAACTTAAAAACATTGACAGCTATTTACACCAAATATCGTATGTATGTACTTGTATAGTATACACATATTCCTTTTCTAGGCCCCCCGTTCCCATTAAAATCTGAATGCCATTTTTATGCCCATTCCGATCGGACAATAAGCCCCGAGATTATCATGAACGTATAGTGTATAGTGTGCGGAGAATGATTAAGGGAAGAATGAGCTTTAGCGTAAACTGAGAATTCATTCATGTATGGGTGGGAGCTGGAATGTCTTCAAAGGTAATTCGTCTCGGCGTTCAGGGTATCTACGAGTTGGGCACACCCGACTAGAGCAATTTGTCTTGTTGCGTCTGTAGCCCTGGTGCCGACCACTGCCAGTCGAAGTCACAGTCACAGTCACAGTCACAGTCACAGTCATAGTCATCAGATGCACTTGGCAAAGGCTTTGGCACAAATTGCATTGCATTGCTGCGTCTTCGTCAGCGGTGGATCGATGGATCGATCGGTGGTCGTTGCTGGCCGATGGTCGTGGTCGGTGGTCGGTGGTTCTTTTGGTGGTGTTTGTGGTGGTGGTCGGTGGTCGTCCTGCTTCAGTGCGCTCGGCGACGTTTCTGTCGACTGCGTGTGTGTTAATTGCATTTGAAAATCGCTGCGAAGGTTGTTCACTTATTTTCCAAAACACTTTTAATAACAACAACAACAACAACTACAACAACAGCAATAACTTTTTGCGAGGTTAACAAAATATTTGTAAAGCTACAAATTGCCCAAACCTCCTACAGCACCAACTCCTGAGCCATTAGCTACTTAGCTGGCTGATATTTATTGTCTAATTGCGAATGTTTCTTCAAAATGTTGACTCAACCACAACTATTGAGGAAACATGAGATATTCACATGCATTTTCTGACCTTAATCTGACAAGTTGTTAACAGATTAAGCCACAGATTAGCTGGCATTATCTAAGACAGCTCCAAACAGCTCAGCCCCAACTAATTGAAATTGTTCGATTTAATTGCATTCAATTAGACAAATTATCGCGCTTCATTGCACTTCATTGCCCAAAAAGCGGGCGAACAAATCCAAGCTGGCATTGCCGTGGGAGTGGACACTCCACCTACCTGGTGGAAGTGCACACAAACATGGGCATGTTGATAAGATGATATTGCATCCCACGTTCAACTATTCTCTATATATTCGGCTCATCTTGCCAAATGTGGGTCGAATCTAACAATATTTTTCTCCAACTAAATTGTTTGAGTCTTGATCAAAGTGGGGAAGGCCCCTTAACAGGGTGTTCCATTTAAATGTTGCATACTTTTTACTTCTTTCAGTCTGTTATCGCTTTACAATTTAGGAAATTTGAGTTTGTCTGAAGATTTACTATAAAATAAACAACAGAAAGTCATATATAGCTTGCGGTTTTACAGATATCAGGAAATTTGTGAAGCCCCTAATTTCTTTCCATTGTTTTTTTAGAGATATTTTGTATATATTTGTTCGTTACTGATAAGGTCTGGTTCTTATATGTGGAGTATAGTAGAAATCGTAAATGCCAAGTTTAGTTTAGATACCTTAAAGAACAAAATAAATAAATAGAGTGGGCGTTGATACTGATGGAGAATATATATATATGCAGTTTTAAAGAGTGCTCAACTAGGAGATACCCTGTATAATGAATTGACTTAATACACAAAAATACACACGAACATATGTAAATACAAGTTCACAAAAATATAGCTATAAACTATAACGAGTAAAAGTAAGAGATAGTGAGAGTTGGAAAGAAAGAGAGACTGAAAGAAGAAGAGAAAGTAAACGATGGGATGAGAGAGAGAGGGAGGGAGACTGAGAGAGAAAGAGATAGAGAGAGTGCTTGAAAGATAGTTCTCTGCATTAAAGTTTTTCCCTTTTACCTACTTACTTATTTCGTATGATAAATGTATAAATCTACCCAATATACTAACCCGAAAATACTATCTATATTATTTGCGTAAACCCCAAATACTTGCTTACTTTAAATATAATGTATATTTTAAAAAATCATACATACATCTGTGATATATCGCAAACTTTTTTATGGCAAAAAATAGTACGCAAGTTTTCTTAGATATTGCGTATAACTTTTAAATCGCTCTACTTATTATTATTTTCCAACTCAAAACACGAAGAAGAGAAAAGTGTTTTGGGGAAAGGGAGACAAGAATATGTGTCGCCATTTATACTTTAATTAGTAACAATACGTCCTCGCAAAGCCCAAGTTAAAATTGTCTATTAGCTAAAGGACGTGCTCTTCAAAAAAGAAGAAGACTTTTCTACAAATTAATGTCAAATTATATCGGTAAATTTACAACACTTGAATGTACACTAAAGCTTTAACATCTGGCCTCAATCACAATACCTCTCTCCCTCTCACTCCCACTCAGTAATTGTACAGATCTGACACATGAGTCACCCTGTGCGAACAGCTTATCATCATATTGCTGTTTTTCATAAATTATGTGTAAGATTTAGTTTTAGCCGCGCCCCTTTCAGAGAGAATTTAAAAATACTAGTTAGCCTTGCGCTTGGCACTCCACTTTTTTTTCGTGCTAATCCCTTGAAGAAGAGACGCGACGAGACGCTGTTTAACTCAATTTCAGTTAATTTTTTTTTTTGGGGCTGCGGCCGGCAGCAAATGAGCGTTGCCAATAAACCATAATTTATTGGCTAGGCAGGGTTTCAGCGCCGGCTCCAGCTGCAGCGTTCCGACTCGGGGTTGGGGGGTGTGGCAACTACGTCATCGTCATTATTGGCAACGGTGCTGCTGCTACTACTGCTGCTGATGATGATGTCGATGATGATGATGCCGATGCTGATGATGATGATGTTGATGATCATTGGGGCAGCGTATTTGTCACAACTGAAGCGTTGACAAGCTTTCAGCTTTTCAGTTATTGTTGAGGGTCTATTTGTGTTTGTTATTTGACCCATTGAAGGAGAATCTTGCCCGTTGGTTGCTGTCGTCTCGCATGGTTTACAGTTCATTGGGCTTGGGCCTGCGCCTGGGCTTGGGCTTGGGCTGGCACAGTCGGGCGTGCTAAATGCATGACGCGCCTTTAGGTCAAACTACAAGCCCCCACTCCTAGACCCAGACCCAGTCGGAGAGACCCCTCCTCCCCCAAATACAAAAATAGCAGCCGGCGATCGGGTGATGAGCCACAGCTTTAACCATGACCAACGCCACAGTCGTCATCGTTGCACACATGCTTCGGCCCTCCGGCAATCGGCGCAATCGTAATCAAAAAGTGCACCACCCATGAGTCAGCCGCAGCCCCCCTTAAGCCGGAGCTGCGCAGCAGCTGCACAGCTGACACCGCCGTCGCGGTCAGCGTCGGCGTCGTCAGCGTCGGCGTCGTCAGCGTCTATTGGTTCTTGAAGCAGTAGCCGTAGCAGCTGCCGTCGGCGCAGCAGAACTTAAAGTTCGGCAATGGTTCGTCTGCGCTTCGGCTGCACTTCGGCACACACAAACAAAAAAAGAACTACAATTAAATAATTTTCTTTGCTTTGTTTTTGTTGTTGTTGTTGTTGTTGTTGTAGTTGTTGTTTATTTTGTGCGCTCGCTTAATTCCATTTCCAATTCCATATTTATCGGCTGGGCGCTAGACAAAACGCGTCCATTCTGCGTTTGCTATTCGACATTATAAATGCGCCGGGTTCGCGCCTCGGCCTCTAATAAAAACTAACTCCGACTCCGATTCCGACTCCAACTCCAACTCCGACACTGATTCCGACTCTGACTCCGTTATTGTAGTTGTAGTTGTTGTTTTTGTTCTCGTTCGATTTCGCGCGCCTCTTTAAACTGAAAAAACTGACACCAAAAACAAAAACAGAAGCATTTTAACTGTCAGCGCGTGCAAGTCGCCGCAGTGTCAAAATAACAACAAACGAAAAAAAAAAATAAATCATAAATAAATAAATATACGAAAACAAGAAAAAACCGAACTACTTAATATTAAATTAAAACTGTTAGCTTGTTTTTAGTTTTTTTTTTTCTGTTACATTTAATCTGTGCCGCGAACAGTTCTGAAAGAATTTCAAGCATTCAACGGCATGTTCAACCATCCATTGGTCAAGGCTCTGGGCGTGCTACAACATGGGCTTTCTATCCAAGGCCGCCTACATCGTGTGGGCCGTGTAAGTAACTAACCTAGCCCAAATCCCAAATCCCAAGTTCTTTCTGCTGCCCGCAACCCTTAGCCCCATCTTAGCTACGCTCGCTTGGTCAGCAGCCGGTTATGTGTCAACAAATATAATCGGAGTGCGCTTGGATCATGACTAAATTTGTGGGAATTACTTGCATTTGTGAAATACATACATACAAGTGTGGAGTAGAGATTCATAATTAATGCATTTTCTAAAAGTGCTTCACAACACTTGGCATAAACAGTCCAAAATGTTTCTTACAAATATGTCTACTTTTTTTAAACATCTTTCAAATTATGCTTTCAATTTATCGTAAGTTTTTATGAAGTCAACAAAGTATAGTACACATAAATTAATTGCATAAATCAG